TATGTCGGCCTCGACCGTCTACTTGGAATACTCAATTTTCCTAACGATACTATTGCTCAATAGATTATGAACTTATAACAAACTTTACAAAATTTATGCAGAAGTAAACTTGTGTTTAACTCTGCGTTTCCGTCACGGAGACTACTGAGGTTACATTGGCATGGAATACAAATATAATGTGATGCATTAATTAGCTACATTTTGTGGCGCTGTTTTTCTTCGATTAGCGAACGAAGAAGACATTTAATGTTGACAGCGTTGTCTGTCTATAATCCTACATAATTAGTCTGTCTGTTTCTATATATATATATATATGGCGCACATTGGACGGAAAAATAAAACGATCCGTTCAGATGGGCAAACGCTTGTGGTTTACTTTAAGGCTTGCATAACAAAGTCCGTCTGACGACTTCTATAACATTTAGAAGAAGAAGACATTTGAGAAAAATACGAATTGTGAAGTGCGCCCTTTTCGGTTAGGGGCTTTGCTATAAGCTATATATCCACTGAGTTAGCTAACCTGTACATAACCCCCATTTATGGTATTGAAAGTAGATCTCGTTGCTTCGCTAGATCTAACGCCTAGTATCTTCCATTGGTCGAAAATCAGTCGAGAATCGTTCAAGGATTCTCAACTACGAATATACAATAGCTATAAGTCAACAATATTTGCGTTTTATATTATTATTATTATCGATATTCATTGTTCATATGGTTCCTAGCAGGCAGTAGTGTAAAATTTACCATAAATCTTGCGATAAATGCAAATCTTTGAACTAGACTTCGCGTTGTATTAAGTGCTTTATACTTAATATCACATATAAGATATGTCTTATATATATAAGATACTATAATATCCCGTATCGCATATCCAATCACAATATTCTATTTAGGTTTCTTGTGCTTAGGACACACCAACTATCCGTTGGAGAGTGAGATCATTTTGGGGCAAAGTTGATGCACTGTTTCCTGTTACATGACATCGACTCGCAGTACCGTATTAATACTTGAAGCAATCTAACACCTCGGAAATGTTGTCCAATTTATCCAATCTATAGATTGACTAAGTTGAAATAAAATTAAACTTCTTATTGTTTACCTTAGAACAATAAGGCTTATATTTTTATTTAAATTCTCCTGAAGACTTGATCGAGGACACTCATATCATCTGTGCAGTGAACGATATTACTGCCATTGGTGCTTTTTCAGCAGTGTGATAAAAAATGACTGCGTCGATACGTCAGCGTTAACCTAGTACGATCTTTATGGAACCGCTAGCCAGGTTTGCAGGCTAAAGGCTCGAAGCTCTTGACTCACTGTGAATAGATAGATAGTTTATAGTCTTCTTTGTGCTATTATGTGACAGACCACGTTACTGATATTGTCGTTGAGTCAAAAATACCATGCAGATCTATCATATTGTTTATATGTAACATCAAATTCTAGAAATGTATTTGTCTAGAATGAAATGGACAATAGTAAATGTTAGGCCCTTTGTTTGGAGATCAGCAAAAAGCCTTAAAGGCTAACCCTACCTAGGCAAATTGAATCTTCATAATTAGCTCAATAATCAGACTTGATTGTTGATATTGACTATATCATTCATACATATAGATATATAAATGGACTAGTTAAAAGCAAGTTTTCTACCTGGTCGACATTTTACAAAAAAGTGAGTTAACTCCATTAATATTGATATTTATATGCTGGGCCCTCTCTGTGGTTTTTGTCAGTCTTTCTTGTCTAAATACCTAGCTGCACGTCAGCGCTGATCTCCTCTATGGACAAATTCGAAATTGATTTTTTTAACTCGACCTCTGCCTGGGAGGGGGCAAAGTGCCAGGTATTAGGTGTACCTCGATTTCCTTTGTTTCTAACAGACATTTTCTCCGTTCACGTCACTCGGCTACAAGTTGACTTTCTGTGCTATAATCCGTTTCGCCTCTGGTTTACTCTACCGGATATAGTATAGAATTCTGGTGTCCGATGGTACATTTTCTCTCACCTCACAGTGTTCTCGTTAGATATGGATAGGTCTAGAAGTTTAGATGTTCTTCTTCTAGGCGCTAAACGGCGTTATGCTTTAGCGGCACCAACTTGGCTTCTTCGTAGCAATCTTTAACAATGCAAAATCCGCTTTTGCTATAATAATAATAATAATAATCATAATTAAAGTTAAAATCAATTGTTTGCAATCAGTTGAATAGCAAGCTTCATCTAATAATCTATAGAGAAGCGTCAACAGCAAGTTCACCGTCTAACACTCTTCAGATAACTTTCCCAAGTCTGAAAGCTTTGTTTCGAAATTGCACTTCTAGATTTTACAGCAAAATTCTTTAGAAACTCCTTTATCAATGCCTATTAGTTAAATTGCTACCTTTCACTTCAGAGTTTTAATAGATAAAGTATGCAAGCACTTATAAGTTCCTGCTCTTGAATCGGTTACTAGCTTTTACTTCGCTGTTTCAGTATTTTGTACGCAGATTTGTCGTTTTTGACGGTGTTTTAGCAACACTTTTTACATGAAGTGTGTACGCAATAGAAACGGCCGAGATGAGTTTTCTGCTTCTGGTAAACTATTAAATCCAATCTCCAAATTGTATTACATTTTCTGATGCATACTAATACGCTGGGACGAGGTGTGATGCAAAGCAACGCCACTTAATTTTTAAATGTTTTGCAAATGCAGCTATGAAGACAGCCCTCAAGGACGCCGATATGCCAATTTCTCTCTCGTAGATAACTGGGTAATGTTCGAGAGAACTTCTGCTAGTGACAGACTCGTAGATGATTAAACGGGTCGTTTTCGGTCTGCATCGTAAAATAACCTGCCATGTGTAAGCTCAACTATTGTGCTTAGGCATATCAATGGAACTATAGGTGTTCGTTGAAGGGCTTATGATATGACCTTGCGCTCAACTTTGATAAGAGATCGCGCATGGATTCATGTATAATTTGATGATTTTCCGAACTCAATGAACCAAAATTGATAAACAGTCCTCAGAAAATACAACGTCAATGACACAAAACCGGTCATAATTAGTCTGCTAACGTTAGTGCTAAACAGTAACTGCTAGAAGCTGCAACCAGAATACGATTGGCCCAAGGGTAGTTGTTGGCACTATGTGAAGTACTAAGTTGGAGCAAAATTCCTGCGTTTATATATATTTGTATATCAGAAGTAAATAATAATAGAAGGTCAATGGGAAGGCAATGAGGATATAAAGGAAATTCTATGTCATCAAAAGGCCAAACTTGGCGTAAGTCAGATAACTTAGGGCATTTTAACGACATGTCGTTTGTTAGCAGTACGGAGATGTACCGAGTCACCGAGGCAACGTGGGCAAGTTGTGATGTGCTGAGCTTGCGGTTAAGTGAGCTAAGATTATGTAGTTCGGCAAGTTGAGCAGAAAAAACTGCAACTTAGTAATAGTAGTTATTAAAATGGTTGTTGATACATAAGCCGGCAGGGAAGCTAGGTTAGGCTCGTACGAGCTAATAGGACAATCCGACATGTTACCATTTTTTCTTGTAGCAAAATAACACAAAGAGCCGAGATGGCAGATATAATCTCGGAACGCTTTTCATCCATTTTCGGTGTATCTTCAACATTAAGCCTAATTACCCCTAATTTAACCCCCCAGTCTTTTAACCCCCCAGGAAAAACTAATATCTAATAAGATAGATGAATCACTCGATCTCAAGAGTCGGTTATTCTAGAAAGGCACAATGTGACCAAGGGAGTGGATGAGTTTTAGAGCGCTTGTCTACTGAAAAAATTTGAGGCTGTATTCGATTGAAGCGGTTTAGAAGGTTATGAAAGCTTTAGGTTTTCAAAAGCTTTTTGGTCCCTCTTAAAAGACTCCAGTATAGGTGAAATCGATAAAAGTTTTATACATTAAGTGAACTAATTAAGCTACAGATACCGAATATTTTGATTGAACCAAGTTCAATATCTATCAATGGCGTATTCTGCGAATGCTGGTAGGTTGATGCCATACGGACGACTTCGAGAGTTTCTATACATTTCGATCTCAAATTTTATCCAATATATGAATCTCCCTTAATATCTAATCTGGTTAGAGTTTCTCAACGTATTATATATGCGTGAAATAAAAGGTTCAGCCAGTTTAATTTACGTATTTATTTGGCTTCTATCACTTTATGGCGCCTATTATATAATTTCAATTTATGCACTCTAAATACGAGTGCATAAATGTGCACTGCGTTTACCTGATAAGCGGAACGAATGGATTTTCATTGTCCACCAGAATAGCGCAAAACTATTATAGATCCTATAATGCACTATCTATTCAAACTTTTTTTGCGTGTCGGCACCAAAGATCTGAGTTTGTTCTATGGACATAATGGCGACGTCGCGTGAAGGTCATATACTAACGGCTATTGCCGATCCGGTCCACTGAATGTGGAGACGGCTCTAAGCAATTGAGGCCTACTTGATCAGGGTTGTGTGATTGGTAAACATGCTGCGCCAATAGCTATCAGGTAGCTAAAAAGGTTGATCGTATCTGATAATAGCCGAAAGGTGACGCCGCATGCGTTTATTAGAGCAGAAAACTCTATGACACCTAAAAGCCTATCGTACAGTTAACTGCGTAGTACTAGGCCAAAACATAATGGTCGTTTTTTTCACCTGCCAAAAAAAACGTCGCGTTTCACCCTCAAATTCTAGCAGCAAATTGGCTTATTATGCATTCGCTGTCCACTTAACTCAATTATTAGTCTCAATTAACTTCTGGCCAGAGAATTTCCGGTCTGGTATTGAAGAACTTACTACGATTTTTCTAGAAGAGCGAAAAATCTTTGAGCGGGAAAAAAACAAGCAAATTTTTGATCTGTTCTAAAACACCACACATTTCTACCTAAAATAGACACTCAACGAAATGAGTACAGGGTCAGCATTCGTCGGGGCGGAACGTTTTTATTTAACCTTGGTACCAAGCTATACGATCATGATGATGAATAATAATAGGACAAATAATAAATGGATCATAGCTGTTGTCCACTGTTTACTTATACTGCTGTTTGTTGTTGAAGTTGTGGTCGTCATCGTCCGTACTGTAATATAAAGACACCAGTAGATGATTCGAATATCAATAATCATAATAAGAGTTATTAATATTATACCATAATCATAATCATGTAGTATTCTTCGTATCCTTATTACTCATATTAGGAAGTAATTTTTCACGTTTGTGTTCATCATTTTTCTTCTTCGTATCGCGTGTTATCGTTTGTTTTTCTGGTTGTTATTGTTGTCGTCTATTTATCATGATACTCAGTAGATATAATAGGGTTGATTATTATCAAACATCAGTGGATTCTTGATGAACCGTTGGCTTAATTCGTCTGCTATCTGTTGTCATGACATTACCAGTGATGTACCCTAATCATAATCCTGTCTAAATAGAACTTCATAGTATACCTGTCACGATTACCAAGTCATAGGTGTTTTGAGACAAGGAAACACATTCGTTTTTGTTGCTTTCACTGTTCTTGAACTGGTTCCGTTATGGTTGACACAGAATTAGTTCTACTAACAACCTGTTTCGCACTGACGTTAGCTGTTTATAATCTTAATCAGATGTTCTCATATTTATCAAAATGGTACACCTGTTTTTCACCAGCTATCTGCTCTCGGCACCATTGAAACACTATATAGTTAGGTTTGTTTGTGTCTGCTTACTATCGATTGTTGCTTCCTCATAATGTTTTTTTTTGTTTTGTTGATCTCGGGAAGGTTTTTGTCGGTTTTCTTATTTGTTATAGTTTTCGATTCCTTCTTGACGAATAATCGTCAATTAAGGACGGAACAGGCAGCCAGAAACGTCATAGGTCAACGTAGATCGAGTCTAACCGAGGTGTACCCACTGATTATAGAAGAGTGCACGCACACAATGTTGCTCATTTTTCGACGCGTTTGACCTTTAGCCGAGTGGACTGGCCCGAACGCCAAGGGATAAACAACGTGTTCGCAAATGTATCAGATGCATTTAATTTAAATGTTTTAGCAAGCTCGCTTGGCATAGATCGAATGCACCCTTTTTCCTCTGGGCACAGCTTAAAACAACCAGATCAGACTCGAACGTTCAACTGCTTCCGATTTTACATCAAACCGAGCGCTCCATAAACGTCTGGCTGTCTGGCCAGAAAATCACTGCAGATATCGTTATTTTCCTCTGCAGCAAAGGTGTCCAATAACAGGGCACAGTGCATTTTGCGTGTGCACGCTAGCAAATGTAGTTCTGACCCAGCGTGAACCAACTGTGATGGCAGCGGATGATTGCTTAATGGAAACAAAATAAGCTTTAAAATTGCAGAGCATCACTATCACCCCCATACGTGTAAAGACTCAGCTGCGAAGCATGCTTTTTCTATTTGCTTGTACGAAACTTCAGTAAGTTGTTCGTGTATATAATCGTAACCGCAAGCATTAATATGAGAGAGAATTACGTTTATGTGATCCATTATTCGGTTCCATCGTCGTCTCCGCAAGTCAGTCTGTCGTCTATGTCTATGCATCCATGAATCTCGCAGCAGTGGTAGTAATAATTATTCCGTATTCTTTTGTTAATTTCTGTTTATCTTTTTACCGTTTCTATAGATGATATAGTGTTTAGCATGACGCCATTCATTATATCATAGAAGGGTCGGACATCGGCATTATGTCTATTGCCTTTTTCATGTATGATGGCTGAGCGTTTCGCTTCGACGCAACGTAACTGCTTAATCATAGCAGGAAGAATAATGTTATAGCTCTATTCGTCACGTTTGTTTGCGTGTCACTATTTGTCAGTATTTGCGTAGCGATGTTGAAGAACGTAGTACACATCATAGAGATATATCTGTTACGTATTCATACTTTGTCTTCCAGCACTCTAATCATATAATCAGTATACTTAATAATATAATCGCTGGTATCGTTCTTCGCATCATTCTTATTAGTAATTATTATCATCATCATCATGAGTTTTATTATCAGTACTATTCATCAATATTATTTCTCATTGACACAGAATAGTTATAATAACCGTAGTAATTATCATAATATCAGCAATAATCATGACATTGTTTGATATTGTTGTTGCTGTATGTATTGTTGTTTGTTTGTTTGTTTTTACTTTTTGTTTATTTCTTGTTACTATACGTAGTATCGTTTTGTTATTATTAATATATCATGATGATATTTTCTTCTCAAAGACACCAGTCAAGAATATGCGCGCCACACTTTTCCATGTTTCTGGTCGCTCTCATCACCTCCGTCGGCCAGTTCATCGTTGTCTTTATCGTGTCATCGTCTTTTACCGTTCCATGTTTTTGCCTGTATTTCCTTTTACATCCAGCTTATTAACTCGCGTATTGTTTCTTTCTAAACCCTCGTTCTGTGTCAATATAAACACTTATGTATTTCATTTCTAATTCTATCTATTAGTCATATTGTTGCCTAGATGGTATTGTCATTATAATCATGTAATCTATCGAATCCGGATCGGACGCGTAGCAATCACTTGCGATGTAACGGTCATGACAAAGGCAATCAATAGCTCACAATGACAGCAATAATAATAATGATCAGAATATAACTGCAATCATAACAATTCATGATTCTTAATATTATTATTATTATTATTATTATTATTATAGCGTTATTAGTCTTACATATCTCTATAGAGACTTTCATAAATCTAAGGCTTTTCAGCGCTTTAGCCTGCGGTGCACAATGGGATAAAGGGCAGATGCACCCGCACTGTTCTAACGCGATCTGAGAGCGTTCAATAACGCAGAAAAAAATTTCAACAAATAATAGCCGTTTAATTATATCTCTCCACCTATTCTCATCGAATAAAAACTGTATGGGTTTGCTTCTCCGTTCACTCTATGACGTCCCTCTATCTAGCATCTATATTTACTCGTTCTACGGCATTTCTTGTCAATTACATTCTTTTGTTAAGTTATTTTCTGAACATTTTCTATTTCGCTCGCACTGCCGTACACGGGATATGCTGGTTAGCATGTAGCCACATGTACATCCTGTTGATGGTACTATATCTTTCTTCAAGTGCAATATTTCATACAGTTTCCGGCATATCTAAATTATTACTATCCCTATTATTATGAGTGATAATAGTAGCCAACATCCATGTTAATGTCTAGTTCTACATAGGCTTGAACCAGGTCTGCCATCAAGATGACCAGATGGGATAATCGCATGCCTCTTTGACATTCCCAGTCATCGAACGGGAGAGAGAAACAAAATATGCACTTTCTGCCACCATAATTGTTTGCACATGTAATAAGAAAGGCGGAGCTAAATAATGGCCATGCCCGATTTCGTATATTGGAGCATATCTACACACAAGAATCCGAAAGCCACTGGTCAGCATTGAATTAATAATTATTCGATCAACGGCACATTTGCACAAAGATCTGGAAGCATGAACAGTTGAGAATCCGCGCTACGCTATTGTATAATCAAGCGAAGATCAAAATTTCTTACACTCGATTCCATGCTAAATATCCGCCAATACATGTTTCGTACCGAAATTTTATGTTTTTGATCATAATTATACCACGACAACAGCTGACCGCGGCTATCAGTAGCAATTTCTTGTGCTGTCCTGTGCTAAAGCTTGAGATTAAAGAAAAGAAACTGGGGTACATCACCTTATTATCGTATCAAGACGCGATTGCTTATTAGATACACACCCATCTGCTCGGCGCGCACTGACTATTTTCCGCTCTTTGTATGACAATTTAGCAGACGAGATTTTCGGCGACGGCGCCAAGTTCAAGTTGGCCTCACTGTTCTCAATTTAGTTCAGTAGCATTAGATGGTGGAACAGACATCGGTCGCATAATTTGTTTGAATTTTTTATCAATTTTACAGTACCGGATCTTTCTGCAGAGTATTTACTTACGAATGACAATGTTCAATGGTCTGCAAAAAAAATTCAAGGTTTACGGCTGTCTAAACAATGCTCTGTCTATCATTAGGCGCGGGTTCGATGACAACGAATATCGGCTAGAACAGATTATGGTTGTACTTTAGCGAATAATAACACCATAGGTTAACATGATCCCTAATCAACTCAATTGACACAACAAAAAGCGATTCTCTCAGTAGCAGCGTTTCTCCGTTGTCCGTTCAGTTGTAATAGTTACACCTTCAAGCACACTTCTCACCTTGTTATCGTATTATCTTCTTCCTTTGTTATTGTTGTCGTAACTTATTATGGTAACGTTACAATAGTAATAACTGTGAGAGTAATGATGACTTGGGTATTTCCCGCCTTTTACATTCGGAAAACATCCGAAACCTAATAAATCTCATATCGCTATCATGATATGGAAACTAATAATAATTATTTAACTGCAAGAATAAGCATTTTTATCATAATAGTATAATAATTTTAATGATCATGTTATGCTAATTGCTTTTCCAGAGCTTGGTTTTTTTGTTTCTCTGCATTCCTGCTATATCCGTCAGTATCCTCTGTCAGGCAGTGGGCAATAGCCAACTCAGGGGCATCCGCCTCAGAAGACGCCACATGCCGTTCCCGTTATATGTTGGTTGCTCATTTAATTGGTTTGTTTGTTTTCAATCAATTGCAGTAATATTTATCGTACTAGACATATGATGGTATGCCATACTAATTATTCTTATCATTAACGTTGTTATTATTATCATCATCATCAGTATTTATGGGTCAACATTGTATGCATTACGATTAATATTATTATTATCATCGTTATGTTTACGGCTTTTTTTTTAATATTGTATTGTAGTTTCCAGTTTTTAGAGGGATATTATTGTTGTTGTTATTATTATAATCAGCGATTATAGTGTCCTTACTTATATTTTTTTGCTCTAACATCAACCAGTTCGTTTTTTCCCATTTCACATTATCTGTGTGTTGTTGGTTGTAATTGCGGTTGTCGATAGATTTTGTTTCGCTTTATTACGATGATGCCATTGCGGTTACTGTTTCGCCATTGGGTCATTGTATGTTCCTTATATTATTTTAGCGCATTGGTCACAACACATCTATGGAATATTACTATTGAATGGTGAGAGAGCATTTTTTAATAGCATAATTATTCGTATTATTATAGTGGGTTATAGTCTCGCTCATACTTCCTTTCGTGACAATTTTATGACAAAATAACAGTATTACCCATATAATCTAAATCATATCGTGTGGTTTCCTGTCGTTGTCGATATTAATGTGATTATTATTATTATCATCACCATAATTTTTATCATGGCTTACTTGTGGTTTATCGTTTTTTCATAATCATGGGTATGTTCTTCGTATTGTGTTGTACCTGTCTAAGTAACAGTATCAAGTATTTAGCTCATTATTTAACATCTGTTCATATTATTTCACTATCTGACGTATTATGTCGCGGCACAAATTCGATTGTTGTTATTGGTTGCTTTTAATTATACTCATGAAGACAATCATCAAGTATTTATTGTCATAATATTTAATGTAGTAATATAATGTCGCTCCATAATATTCGTCATCCCTTATGATTATTCTTATTAGTATTATTGTTCTCATATTGTCGATACTATTCGTATGACGGTTGTTGTGTGATAGGTTACCTGTTGTTGTTGTTGTTGTTGTTGTTTGCTGCAGCGCAATCAGTCGATAGATTAGCCAATTTATTTTGTGGTGATCTGTCTTTTCCAGTTTCAGAGTCAATGTCTAATTAATTCGTCGTTAATATTGTGATAAAGTCGTTAGCTTGCAACTGTCTTATCATCGTCTCTATCAATACCTACAATGTGTATATATATATATATATATATATATATATATATATATATATATATATATCAGCGTCACCTGCACCTCCTTGTATATCTTTGGGCCTCTGCTTCGAGTCTGTCTGTATATTAGCTTCTTATCATCCTACGTTGACCCTTTTACGGAGGAGCTTATTGTGTGTCCCTGTTTTTCGTTTTTATCTTACCCACTTGTGTGTGGTGTCGGTGTATATATATATATATATATCTAGTCGGATATCATTTTGCTTTTTCAGCATTATAAAATACAGCGTCGCTCGATCGGTTGGTTTGGTCAGATCAGACAGTTGCACAGCTTTAAGCGTTATCAAATGTATGTGGAAGACGCCAGGCCAAAATCTAACGACAAATCGTTCCCCACGCCCGCGTATCGTCCTTCCGAAAATCGTTTTGTTGTTTTACTATAACCCAACTACCTCCCGTTAGCCTCTACAGTTCCGCAGCTAAATTGCTGCCTGAGGCATTTGTACGAAGTAAAGCTCATCGAAATCTCCCTAGGATCCATTTCTATTCATATCGCTGCTTTTTTACCAGTCCCTCTCTGGGGTTCTCCTAACGACATTTTCACTTCTGCCATGTATGATGTTTCCGCCGCTGGCTTCGAGACATGAGTCCTCGACAAATCGTCCGTGTCCACTAAAATGTATCCGTGGGGTCGCTCATACAACTTACACGCCCCCTTTTTGAGCGAGTGTCCCACCAACACAACTGTATAGGGCAAAACCCGCGGCTCCGCCATTAAGTCTTTCATATCCTCTTTTCTTCACATGTATGTATATATATATTTATATCTAGTATATATATATAGCATTAAATATATATATATATATATTATAAATACACCCTTAAAGACCACCTATTTACCGTTTGCTGTTCCTTTCCTTTGTATCTTAAAGGGGGTTCCTCTAACGTGCAGTAAGTGTTGTGACAGCGGCAAGGCCTAGACGCACGCGGTGGTTAAGTTTACACGGACGGTATCTATCTATGTCTTTATGTCGCTTTGCCTCCAGCATTATCATCAATCTCTTCATTATCTTCCTCTTTTACTCCTGTTATATATCGCTAACGTTATTGATACGACGTTTACATATCGTTCTCATTTTTCTCTGCCGGACCGCGCATCTCCAACATTTCTGGCTTTCGAATAACGCGCCGAACTACGACACACTTTAAAGATCTTTGCCGGGCAAAAGACACCACGGGCAAAGAGGCGCCGCTGGCACGAATCGACCTAAACGGAGATACGCGGCTTTCGCGCACCGGCTCACAAGGACATCCGAGACGTGTAGGGGAACTGGCGTCGAAAGGCTTATGCTAAAAGGACCTGGCGCAAAAAATAGAGCCATTTTTTCAGTTTTATTAAGTAATATCCAATGACCTGATAATCACCACTAGATCGACTTCGTTTGTAGCACAATGATGAGTTTGGATGTTCCCCACTGGAGTGGCACATGCACAATAATGCCGGAGGGGGCACAAATCGCTTTTCCGTTCTGTTAAAGTGTGGCTGAATCGCCGATTACGCTGCACAGGGCACTTTCCTTATAGAAGAAAAAGCCCAAAACGATAACATTTAAACTTAAACCAAATATAATCATTCTTAGATTATTATCCATTGTTGTTTGTTTTTATTCCGTATTATTATAGTAATAATTAAGTTGATTCCTCACACCAAAACGTCCGCCCCGTTTTTTGTCCCGGAAACGCGCCGTAACCACCAGAAGCCCAGAACCACACACGGTCAGCTATTTGTTAAACAAATTATCAATTAATCGAATCGAGTAAAAATTCGTTCTTTAATATTTGTATTAGCTCATTGTTGACTTAGCATAGTGCTATTCTCATCGTTATTAGCTTTGTCAACATCTATGCCACACCGACAATTTGAGGAAACTGCTTATTCGCAATGGGTGTGGATGCGATTTTATGAGTCATGTGTGTTTTCGCTACCTCGGGCTGGCGTGCGCTTCCGAAACGGAAAAGTGTGAGAATCGTCCATCACCCCGACCGCTCATGTCTTGTTGAAAATATTAGTTGGTGGTGTTTGTTCACTTGTTCCTATTGTTGTTGTTATGGTGGTAAATGTTCACGATGCTGTTTATGCTGTTGATATTATTACTGGTGTTTCTTCGCGGTCGACATCGTGTTCCAGACCGAGCCTGCGCGGTACGCACATGTCATCGCGCGCCGCCATGCCATGTGTGGGCATAACGTCCACACACACACACACACACACGACAACCTCGCGCCATTTCGTCGCTGTTAAAAATTCTCCAGCTATGGATGCTGCTGTCACCGGCACTGCCATCGACGTTTAGTCTGAACCACTTATTTCCTGCCGACGAAGATGGAACTGACAGAGGCATAGAAAGTGGACAGACCAGAGGGGCCGTATGCTGTCAATGAAAGAAACTTACCCCCTCCCCCGCCCGCTTCTTCCTCCTACTCGTTCCTTCACCCGTTTTCACAACAAGATGTCGCCCTGTTCATTTTCCCCAGATCGCATTCCATGATCCTCTCTGTCCCTCTGAAGACAGATCGTTGCGCTAATTGGAGGAGATCATCATCATCGAGTAATGGCGACTTGATTTCTGGCAGATAGACTTGGCTGAAATACAGAAATGGCGCTAAGTCGTCCTGTCGGTCGGCTAGTCGTTCAACACTGGCTCTCGGATTTGTTGCACTCACCGTCCACCTTCTGGGTAGTAGTGACAGGGGTGGTGGTTGCAGTTGGGGTTGCGACGGTCGTGCCAGCAGCGGTTTTAGCCGCTGTGGCCACAGCCGTCGTTACTGCTGCATCGTCCTTCTTTTTGAGGGCAGCGTTGTTATTTGCGGTTGATGTTCCTGATGGGCCTACGATTGTTCAAGACGAAACAGCCCGAATAAACGAACACTTTATAGCCGTTACGTAACGGAGTTTGTTTTGGCATAAACCGAGTGAGACTCGAAATAACAAAAGCTCATAATAAGAGTGTTGGGTGTAACAAAATATAAACACTAATAAAAGATTGTGCTATGCGAATGTACGAGAGCCTTCTAAATTGAACTGGTATGAAGTTTTTAATAGATTTTTGTGAAAAATTATAAATGTCGAAAAATATAGACGGCAGCGTGCTCTTCAAGGATATTAATCATGAACTACATACCAGAAGTGTTCGCGTTTCGTGCAACAAGAGCGCGAATCTGCCTTTGTGCGGCCTGAACGGCGTAGAAGTCCCCAATGATGTGAACGGGCGTCTCATCGTCGGGCTCTGGACTGCTACTTTGCCCGCCCCTGGACGATTCTTCTGGAAGTTTGATTAGCGCATGCGTCAAGCGCTGTAGCTCTTTTACTGTTTGTCCGCCTTTGCCGATAATGCGACCCACCTAATAGAGAAGAATTAAATAGTAATGAGTAAATTGATTACGAAATATTTTCGAAATATTAACACCTATATATATTGGTATGCTAAACGCAGACAAAGTAATATAAATTGCAAGAAATAACAATGAATTATTCCGTAAACACTTGAAACACTGACTTCTGCTACTAATGACAATTGCCCGCGATATATGTTGACAACACTTGCCTGGTTGCTAGGCACGTTCATTTCGACGCGCAGGTGGCCAGCCTGTACTTGCGGGTCGGCAGCAGCTTCGGGATTCGAATCTAGGTGTTGTGCCGCCTCGAGGAATACCTTACGATAGAGTAGGCATTGGGCTCGCCACTGCGCTTCGGCTGAGCCGGTAAGCGTCACTCGTCGGTCCGACGGATGGGGGTAGATTCCGACACCACCGACGCCGCCTTCCCGTCGACCGGCTGGCTCCGCCCCCGAAGAGCTAGGGGTGTCGTCCTTTGAACCATCCTTCTTAGCCGCATCGTCCTTCGAGCGGTTCTCCTCTTTGGCGCTGCTAGGCGACACCTTGATGCTGCAGCCGGACACTCTTATCATCTCCCGGATTGACGAGCCGCCCGTGCCGATAATGGCCCCAACGGTGCATGATGGAACCCATACCTGGACCGTCTCTACGCTGCCGTCTCCGGGAGGATAGAAATGTCCGCCGGGGGCGGGCACACCCATGGGACCATATGGAGGCCCGTAATGGGGCAACCCGTGGCCTCCAGCACCAGCTGGCCCTCCGGGGCCACCATGATGCGCATGTGGTGGTGGAGGTGGCAGTGGTGGCCTATGGAACGGCGGTGGGTAGGCGGGAGGAGGCGGGGGAGGCGGGGGCGGACCCATGCCTGTCCCGTGGCCTCCCCCAAGGCTATGATGATGATGATGATGATGATGATGATGACCCATTGCCCCGCCGGCACCACCGTGACCCATTGCGCCGCCACTCCCATGGCCACCTTGACCAAGCGGGCCTGGCGGTCCACCGTAGCCGCCCATCATCGATGCTGCTTGCTGCATATCATGCTCATAGCACTGTCGCATCTTCGCTGTAATCTGTTGTTGAGCTTTCGACATCTCGTCAAGTGAACCCTTAATAATTATCACTCGTTCACGAGGATCCGCCATTGACGAAACGTTGACCTTCGCCGAGGTTTCGTCCATCACTTTCTTGATGACAGCACCACTGCGCCCGATGACTCGGCCAACTAGATTGTTATGTGCAAGCAGCTTAAGCACGATTGGTTCGTCTGAACGTTTGGCAGCAGCGGCGGCGCCGGAATCCGACGGATTCGCCGCTTCCTGCTGCATCACCTCCAGTATCTTTTTGCAGGCCGCCGAGCAGTTATCAACGGACCCGTAGATGTTGATTACCTTCTCCACCTGTCCCTGATTGTAAATGCCTCCCGCGTCTTTCCTGTTATCACTCGAAGTTTCAAAATGACAACAGATAATAGTGTACCTAGTTAGCATGGTCAGTTCGCCGGAGGCTTTGACTGCGCATATGGTTGCTGAGCCGCATCATAATACATAATATAATAGCTAATGTTTGCATAAATGATATAATTACGGTAATGCTGGTAACAATCAATACATCGTGCCAAATAATTATCGAGAAAGATACGTTCATAAGGCTGATTGACTTGTCCATAATAACAACAGTTTCGGATTCATTGTCATCATCATAATAATGACCATCATAAGCAGTGCGTCCCGAGTTAATTTATCGCAAGGTTCCTCTAGTTTCATCAGGCACTTACCTATGCACATCGACTCTTGCGCGGCTCTGCTGCGTAATCTGCTTGATGGTCGCGCCGCTCTTACCGATGATGGCGCCGACCATCTCTGAGGGAACCAGCATGCGGAGCGGGATATCCTTCGGGGGCGGTGGGGGCGGGCCCAGAGGCGCGTGACCGTGACCACTTGGGCCTCCGTAGGGCCCAAATGGTCCTGGTCCTAAGCCTCCGGCCAAGCCTCCCAGTCCGTTTGACATCCCGACGCCACCTCCACGACCGTTTGTGAGTCCACTGGCACCGCGACCTCCGCCCATTACGTTGTTGTGACGTCTGTAGTTAAGTTTAATAAACTAATGAGTAAAACGAGTAGGTGAATTAACGTGGTACGCAACGTGGTTCTTTAGGAGCGTGCCATGAATATACATGCAAATAACACGGAAATATTTTTCTAAAGGCCTATTTTACAAGATTTTCTAACGGAAAAGTATTTTTAGAGATCTAATGACAAATCTAAATATATGTAGATGCTTGAAAAAAATCGCTGAAGAAAAGAAATGAAACTGAAAACAAAAGACCTTTTCAATTTCATTGTTAAAATCGCGTCACCTCCCGTTAAGCACAACCTAGCTATAGCTTTCACCTATCAGGTAACATGTCGAAGACCTAGAAGATCCGTAGAATCTAAATGGATTTTCTGGTTTCGAAAAATGGCCCTTTTACATGTTTAAAAAATTACTTGTACGGCGTCTTGGACGAATTTAACGATTTCTGCGTCAACATCGCGAGGAAGCCGATTCCCCTATCTTTACCTGGCGCGAAGTTTTGAAATCATACCTAACCTACTAAATTTATCTATCAGGCAAATGACGTATAAATTCCGCACTGCAAGACGCGAATGAAAAACGAACAAACTCAAAATGCATGTTTCCTGCTTCCTCCTTTTTTCATCACCGTAATTTCTATTTCGCATGGTTTTGTTATTGAAACAAAGTCTGTTTTCTTTTTCTGAGTCAATAACGCACTTTGTTATTTCATTAGGTTATTTCCACTTACTTGTGAACGGGGTCGTGTCCGTTAAAATAAGTGTGGATGTGGCCGTTGCTGTAATGGTGTCCGTTGAAGGACGCCGAGCTATAGTACTCCGCTCGCAGAATTCCCCCTGCGTATGGGCGTCTAGCCAGGTTGCGCACGGCCTGCTCCGCCTGCTCGGGGTTATCGTAAGTCGCGGTCACGCGATAACACTCGCTTTTCTGCCCGAGCTGGCGATTATTTGACAGATTTCTCTCGTCCTCTAACGTGTCACACGACTGGATGTTGCCGTAAGTCGAGAGTAACGAACGAATGTCCTGTTTGTCGACGCGCTTGGGAATACGGGAGACCAACACCTTACACGAGCCCTGCTGGCGACCCCTGCGAACCGCAGCATACCAACCAGTAGTAAATGACAGAACGACCGAAGTGAGTGATGGTTAGTAATGACGGCGCGACATCGGACCCATAAGAAAATATGAAGATGATATACGAACAAGTACGACATAATGTTAGCACAGGTTACTATAAAAAATACCAAAATATACTGCGACCTTGGTTAGAGCAGAACATATTAATCATTCGTAAATAAAAATAAGATTCAAACAACAACAGCAACAACAACAAACCTACTAGTTTCGGTTGCTATATTGAGCATAGATCAGTTGGGGCGGAATAGCCTGTAATCAGTGCATCTAATATCATGCGATCCGCACCAAGAGTGTCTTTGAGCATCCGTTGGATATACTAAATGCATTGACACTCACAACTCAAACAATCGATTTGATTGTTTATCATTGAACAAAAATTTATATCAGATAAAATTTGAGGAATCCTAAAAGGCATTACACTTACTACAGCATGAAACACGCTCGCGATGACAAATTAGCAAAGCAGACATCAAGAAGATTTTCAAAACAAAAAAAAAGTAGACTTAAAAAAAATATTATAAAACAATTACTTCCAAGAACAACGATAACAAAAAAACAACACAAACCGCGGAACTTATAAAACTCTAAAATCTTGATATATAGATAGAACATTATGGAGTACAAGTTCAGGCCGAATATCTCCGAACACCCCGTATTGATGAGGTGCAAATGTTGGCCCAAAATTCATCTGTTATAAGCTGTGGCGCTTGCCCTCTACAAGGGGTAAGGGGCAAATAAATGGAAGACTTCCGTTGAGTCCATTTCATAACAGGCTCACAGCTATTTTGATGAGGCTGGTCTCAAGCTGGCACTCGTAGACTGCTCTATATAAAGCGAGCACTAAAGAAGAAAGACGGTATTTTTAGGCACACCGTTTTGCAAGTACATCTTGCATTTAATTCAGTTACAATGTATTCGCGCTTATGAGGCATTGTAGGGTTCACCAAATTGACCAGGTTTGTCAATTGTATTACTTTTACGTATTTTTTTCTTCAATCACCTTTATCGGATAGCATGTGATTTGCAGAACTTGCGTGATAAATTTGACTTCGGAGCTAGGTATACTGAGTAGCATGTAACGAAATGGTAGTACCATTAAGCTTGTTCAAAGATTCAGTGTTTAAATCAACACGATGTCCAATTACTGTTAGATCAGGTACATATATATACTTTCATGATTTCCCAATGTAACGAGTGATGCATCACATACGACATATGCAAGGCTTAAACTAAAATTAGAAAACATTAATCCTTATTTCGTAGAGCGAGACACGCCAATAGTTGCCTCATTGAGCATCATTAAACATACTGGCGAAAAAATCACTCCGGGAATAAAACTGGGAGATATCAGAGCCGAATAGACCATTACTGAATATAATCAGAAATTTATTGTGCAGACACCTTGAAATATGCCGATTCGCAGCGCAATCACTAAGAGCAAAAAAAATTAGTCGACTACAAAAGTTCCGTATTATAGTACTAAATTAGTCGACTACAAAAGTTACGCCTTATAGTGCTCAGTCTAAAAATACATTATACTATATTTGTTTAGGCATTTTAGCCTACTTGAATCTCCTACTAGCTACCTAGCAGACTAACGAGGTTTGTCTGCTAGGTTACCATCAAACACAGCTACGCTGAAAAATAGTAGCACCGATACACACTCTTCGGCATGAATACAAAATAGTGTTTGTATAATCAGTTATCTAATAATCTTCTATTATATTTTCATTAGTTGGGTTGGCTTTCTCTTGGTTTCGAAGCCACGTACGAAACCTTCCTAATAAATGCTTTACTTTCCTTCTATATGATACCGTCTGCATGGTGACCACCGGTAATCGGCACAATCTTATTCTCGGTCACTGCTCCCGGACATCGAAATGACAAAACCGACCGCGAGAAAGACGGCCATGGGGTCAGTAGAGACTGAGCGCACCCAGGCAAACGCCATGGCACCACGAGCAAGCTAGCTGCGTGCGAGCACGAATATTTACGGGAAAATTAATGCCTATGTGGTAGTCGGCTGGCTAAACGGGGGTGAAGGATGCTTACAGGGAAGGAAAAATATCTTTAACAAATATAACAGAACGATGATAAAAGCGACAATGACTTCTTGCCATGCACCCATTCGACGATATCGTGCTAACTTCGCATCGAATCGTTTGCAGCATCTTGTCAGCCTTCTTATCATGTTTTCATTCATTAGCTAGTAGAATCAAAATCTACTCTATCGAAAGGTAAAACAGACCGGCGCCTGGGCGGTGGTCCCTGGCCATGATTAGGATATGTGCGTGGCGCATTCCCAGACGTTTGTTACTGTCAGTCCATCCACGATACACAGGTAACAGTTATCAGAACAATGTTAAGTGCTGCTAGACACAACGACGACGATAATGATCCAGTCCATTCAAGGTGACTAAGCTGCATAATCGCAATGAGCGACGACAAAAACTAAAAACCAATAAAAGATTTACTCAAGAGAGCACGCATTCCATGAAAGCAATTTTTTTTACTCAAGCCTTCTGCCTGAAACGGTTACAACAAAGAGGAAGAGAACGCGCATAATGAAATTAGAGCTTTAAGCGCGAAACAATTAGCAGCAAATATTCACAGGAAGTTCAAAAGAGATCACAATCTGTTAGTAAAATATTTTTGGTATGAGTGCTACTTGCACAGTCTAAAAAAGAAGCACCAAACTGGATCACTATGACATAACTGATACTAAAGCGACTACACGAATATTACAAACAAGTTAAGCAAAAATCACTAGCCTGCACTGAGTATAAAATACGGCACCTATGAGACGTCACAATCATATGCTACTCGTGTGTAAATTCTGTAGACTTTTAGATTACCAGTGAATTGAGTTTTCCGTTTATCCTACCATTACTATCGTTCCACCTCTAATAAATTAGCACAACGTCATTTATAGGACGTAACCGGGAGATCAAACAGTCGGCAGGAACAAAAAAACACAGGCTTCAAATAAAACAAGAACTAATGAATAAAAGCAAACCGACGACCAACTAATATAAGCGCAGAAACAAAAACCGTGAACATCCATTAAAAACAACAGCGCATGATTCATTGATTTCCTCATCACCGTTCATTTGCGATAATGTGCGGCCAATTTTTCTCGATATTTTCCACTCGCCCAAAAATCGCAACGCCAGCGAAACAAAGAAAAACTCACTCCGTTCATTTCTCTCAAGCAACAACAAAAACACAAAATTTCATGAATCAATCAATCAATCAGATCAAGCAGTTAATCATCTCTACCTTCGATCTTGTGTCAGTCAGTACTGCCCTTAAGAGTTGGCACACTTCAATGGAAATCACAACGGAGAGGCACGGCCTCACTGCTATGTCATCTTCCTTTCATTGAGCCCATGTGTCGCCTCCAGTTCTGGAAACCAGTTCCCACCATCGGATCGGAAGTTTCCTACTTCACTCGAATGGCAAGTCGAATGGCTATGTAGTAGTAGTAGTAGTAGTAGTAGTAGTTGTTGTTGTTGTTGTAGTGGTTGGATTGGTTCGTGTAGCTGAAGGTGTATTCCTCGTGTATCACACAGCCTAGTCTTAAGAGATCCCCACCACCACGGTTTGTTTCGGCCAAACGCCAAGCGCTTCCCTAGAACGAGACCAGATATTCATATAGATATGAGAGCGGCGCCACAATCTGCTTCTAATTTCTGTCTTTCTATTCTAGCTAACACCGAAAGAAATCAAAAGATTACTAAACCCCAGTTACAATTCGATCGTATTTTTGTTGATGTACTTTGTTTTCGTTACAGGAGGAGTTTTTTTCGGCTTTTGAAGTAAAGTTTTTTTCAGCTATCCCTCTTACCGTACTCCTATCATCTGTGAAAAAGCAAGATATTAGGTCAAACTATAATCACACTAACGGTAGCCAATATACGCTATATTCGGCGAGTTAATTGCAATCTTCGGTTAATGGAAGATCATTTAATTGAAAGTCAACGAAAGCAAACGAAGTAAAATTAATAGGAAACCAAGGCACGAAAATTCATGGACAAAACGCAACCAAAAGCGAGGCCTTAAGAATACGGCACACAAGCGCCCATACTCAGCATACGACATAAAAGGAACAGCATCGCAGGCTTTTATAACATCTTGAATTATTGCCTTGGACCACACTATCATGTAAAAATATTGACTATGAGTTCGATTTTGACTAATTAATTTTAAACTAAACAATATTTCAGCGGCGTTCCCAAGTTGTTGTAAACTGTGCGCTCGTCATTCTGTTTCTGTGTGTCTTTGTATGTGTTCATATCTCCAAGAAGCATGAAAACAAAACGAAATCATCATTATGATCAAAATTGGTAATTACCTTAAATTCAATACGCGACGGAGTTAAGTTAAATATAATAGCCATCCATTAGCGATACATCTAAATTCAGTAAAGGGACGAGCATAAAACTTGCAACCATAACCGCTTGCAAAAATTATTCAAACCGAAACAGACAACCGACAACAAAATTATGAAATCAAAGCGTGCATTCAAGGTAACTAGAAAGCTGTCTCTAAAGCTTCATAATAGGGCTTATCGAGAGCCTTCCGACTCCGAGGGGCATAATTTCATTCACATCCTTCATGCACTCATGCTGCTAGATAAGGAAAAGCTGAACACTCAGGCTACCGCCATGTCCTGACTAAGTTACTTGTAACCTTAATATACCAAGTATTTACTGATATTATAATCATGGGTGTTAATGTGATGCATCCGCCAACTATGATAATATTTGGTTCATGCCTTTTGGTCAGGTAAAACTGAATTGTTGATATATGACGAGGCTATTTAATGTCGATTAGAATTTATGCGTCGGTTCAGTTCTATTATGTGTATACTGGGTGGGTCAAAAATGTCTTTGGACAGTTAGAAGAGGATACCTCTATTCAAAATGTGTTGTGCACTGTTATGATATCCGCTCTTTATTGCGATCCCCAAATGCTTTAATACATAATGTGAGTTGTCTACAGACGATTTTTAAACTGTTTAGCGACTTTTGGCCCATTCAGCACACATAAGGGCAGATTTATTGCACGATAATAGTAAATCTGCAGCACCTGCGGTCTATATCGCCTTAATGATCGATCTCCGCACAACCTCTCACAACAAGCTGAGCCGCCGTAGAAGTTACATCATTTAACGCTATTACCCAGCAGAAATGAATTAACAAAATAGAAGAGAAAGATCCACCATATATTGATGGTTGTCATATGTGTATATTCATGATATTCACTTCCCAAAGCTCTCCTATGAGAGCTTCGTATTCGTATACATGTTTGCATTAAGTAAACAATACATAGTAAAAACATCATCCTCAGGTCATAGTACATAATCGAAAGCAGTAATATTAGGTAGAACACATTATACTTTAGATACAGCCCGGAGCATCTCGAGAGTCCCGTTAGCGCCATCGGAAGCCAAGCGAAATAACTTAAAATTGGACTTCAGTCGATCGAAATAGACCAAAGACACAATAGCAGCTAAAGTTCACCGGACAGACTTCATCTATCGTATAAAGTGAATATACACTTTCAAATCATTCTGCCGTTGAGCAAGTTCTAACAGCTCATGAATCGACCAACAAAATTCAAAATACTCTGAGACCTATTTGCCGCTATGGTTCCTAAGTATTATTTATTGTAATCTCTTCTCCTAATAAGTATGCCCTCTACCTAACATCCATTATGAAAACCATTCACTTGCTGTTCTGTGTTGATCCTCACTTTTCTTTTGATTCGTCCTTCAGACTCCACATAACGAAGCCAGTTAAGCCGACGATACCCAAAGAATTTCCAACGTCGGCGGCATCGAGTGCTGGGGGTACAGCCAAGCAAACGTATATGGATTTGTAATGACAAATGGTCGAAGAATTATAGCACAAGCAACAGCAGCACTGGGAACAGCGACAAACCTCAACCAATAAGAGGCTCTGCCTTCTCTGTAATTACCTGCGACGCCTGCAGCAGCGGTTTTTCAAACGAACCACTTGCTCCTTGTACAAATACGTTTCCCAAGTGACACGTTACTGTTTCTCATCGTATAGCGCAGCCGCGTGCGTAGCATAGCAAATAATATATATCGAGTAAAGAGAAGTAAATAGAACTCGCGTGCACAAAGCTAAGTAGTTAGCTGTGTCACTACAGAAATCACAGAACGCAACTCGGATATATCCATCCACATCCATGCAGTTTTTCCTCTCAAAATAGGCTGCATATAATAGACACGCTGCAGCATGCTAGGCTATTTCGGCAACAATTACATTGTTATTCCGATGCTCGCCCACTCCATTTATCAGCGGATGTAACTGTACGACAGATCGCGTTTGTGAGCCATGTGTCTTTCACGATAATCAACCAGCCTATCGAAACATATCACATTGCAACTCTGGAGCGCCCTGAACGCAAACTGCCTGTTCTCTTGCTGTTACATGCTGCTGCAAACGTCGTCACGAAAATCCTACGCTACCGCTATTATTTCGACGACAGCAACAAAATCCAGCACAAAGAAAACAGGTAGTTTTAAAAAAAAACATTACACAGCGAAAAAGACGCGAGGTTCAACGCGATCAGCAGGCACAACTCAATTCAATAGGCTCAACATCCACTTCGTTGTCACAGCATCAGTGATGACCACAGATAGGCCCGAACAGAGATAGAAACACCACAGCAAGTTTCGCAAATTCAGCGTACGTTAGAATCAAAAGCAAACGTTGTAAGGAGAAGAGCTAACACGAGGAGCAGCAGTAATAACAACGAATAGCTCTTGTAATGTAGAATGTAAGACGAATCAAGCGAGGCCGACAAGCAACAGAAGGTTCGGCCTATATAGCAAAACGCTATGAGACTAAATCGTACTGACTAGCACAGACACGTACGAAGAGTGCTCAACGCTACGGGCTCCTGACACCACCGGCAACAGCAATTAATGAAATACAACAAACTTGTAAAATGGTCGATTTCTTGCGGCACTTTGTCGCCTGCCTGTTTACGTCGTTCTGGGAACTCTTTGTTATTAGCGGCAACTTGCCGGTATCTATCCCAGCATAATGTCCGACGCAAACAGATACATAACAACGGTGGAAGCTACCGTGCAAGCTCAACCACGACAAGTCGACAGGCACTTCTCGGCGACGAACTTGCGCCGCACAGCAGAAACATGAATAGCTTGACCCAATGCGTAGTGCCGCGATCTTATTGTACACAATATGCAAATGAACAGAGGACACCAACGTGGGCAAACCTAATCTACGATTTAATAATGGTGGCTGCCTATAACCCGACGAAGCCACAAATCTGAGATCTACGCGATGTATGTAAAAATCAGCATCACCAACGCAACGGTTATCAACCACACGACCGTCGATCCTGCATGGCTGTCCGTCTACCTGGCGACGATGCACACACTAGGGACAAGAAGCCACCAAGAGTGGTTAACTCGTGACAAACACGCTTGCTACACACAGAAATCCCTATAACGCAGACTTAGCAGTTTGACCTCTCCCTCCGCTCGCACGTTAGACCGTATACGACCCGACGCCGCTTGCTTTTCTCAGCTCAGTGGACGACCCTCAGTAACATGCGATGAATAGGTGATCCTCTCGTTATTAACCAAGCATCGGATGGGGACGCTCCGTGGGAACACTCGCGGCATGTAATGCCACGAGAAGCACTCACTACAAAGGCCAGTACAAACAGAAATACATTCACCTTGCAGCCGCTATGGACAAATTGCTGGGGACTATGCGTCGTTTCAGCCGGGTCGGTGGGTGCCGACAGCCTAGGCTAGATCAGGCACTTTTTGCTGGCATCAGTTAGCAGTAATACCTTTGCGTCCACGTCTCAGGAGTATGGTCTGCATTTTACTACCTAACAGCAGCCAAAGTTAATCACGATACAGCCTAAATAAAAAGTAGCATTGGGTAGCACAGGCATATAGACAACAGCAAGCAGCAGCCTGGCCGGATTATACCGGGTCGAGTGCCGTGTGCTGCGGCCACACACGCCTGAACCTCAAAGGCCGACTTCCTGTAGCTACGGCTTTTTCTGAGGGTGAAGCTACCCGACGCCAAAAATTCTAGTACTTACATGATGGCTGGCCTAGGTGGCCAAGTTGTCCCTAATTGCTTGCAGGGAGGATTTCAAGCTGGAAGATTGGTCGAATCGATATACCTCGTCTATGGGTGGGCCCGGTGGAGGAGAGAACAACTACGCGGCGGTGCACCGAATATGCCGCTAAATTTCGAATCTAAGCCCGCGGCACTACAAATCAAGCGCAGAGGCGCGAAAAGAAATGAGGCGCCGGTTTCATAAAACCACCAAAATCTCTCTCCTCGCACAAAGGAACTCTTGGTGCCAAGAATTGCTTGATCAAGCTTCGCATGGACATTGCAGATAGCTGCTTACCAATAGGCTTGCATAAAATTGTTCTAGACTCCTTCTACACTTCTATGTGCAGGCTTTACATATGAATATAAAAAAAAAATTGTAAGTTGATGAAAATTTATTTCGACGGACGCTAAATTACAGCAAAATTTGTGAGAAAAAATTATAAAATATCAATCTGACACAACTGTTCCAACACAAAAAAATTGTAAGGAATTTTCGCAATAAGTTCCGTAAAGCAGCTGAAATCAAGATTCAATAAATACGGATTTCTTTTAAATAAAACAAATTTGATCTCTTTCGAAAACCCCAATAAGAGATCGGGTTATCATATCTCGGCAAAAACAATTCGGTAGTAGTCAAAAAAAAATTGTAGCGCTGGTACAATAATTACGTTCATTGATGGGAACAATTGTTTAGACTCATTTTAGAAGTAAGCTAAAACCGCAAAATCATCTTCAATATGTTTCCATTCTATTCGACCTGGCACTAGCGTGCATGATTTCACCGCTCACGCTAACCAAGAAAAGGTCGCATCGTATCGATTTCTCAATGTCATTTGATTTAATCACGTGTTCGCTGCATGGTACTCGTGCATAGAGTATGCGACAAAAGCCCTCAAGGCTTTTATCGCAAGTCTGCTGGTGACTCAGATTTAATGTACTTAAAGATTAAAGTCATACTGACTCACTGCATTCTTGAATTTTGGCCCTCGAACTTTGCGGTCTGCCCCACATCATATAAAATTGTCGAATGTTGCTAAAACGTTACAGAATAATGCACCGCACATAAAGCTATGTTCCTTCAGAATTGACTGGTAATTACTCAGTAGGCTTGCAGAATCCTTGGACTAAGGCTCTGCATCAGCTGTTGAAGCTGAAATATAATGAAGAAGAACCTAGTATAGAAGTATATATCGACATGGTGTAAGGTACTTGTCTGATCAAATGCCTAACGGTGGCACCAGCGGAAAAATTCAGTTTAGTGTTAAGTACATAACGCCAACGCCTGCGGGTAACCCGCCCGACATTTGCGCCGAATCGTTCACACATGAGCACAATGTTTTGTTTTACTTGGCACAGCGGGTACGCACCACGCACAACACAGAGAAGCAAAAAAAAAACTAGCTCGTTCTTTTTGGCGAGCGTCCTTGACAGTGAAACGCTCTTATCAATCTAAACTTCGTTATCCTTATCGTATAAAACAAAGTTTAACCTAACTCGCTGGCGGATTTTAACGCATGTGTACCAAAAATTTTCCACATATGACTGTAATATTCGTGATTGTTAATTAATGATATGACTCTAATAATGATCGTAGAACAGCTTGTTTACTCACCTTTTAGAAACACAGGATTTGGTTAAATAATAAAGGTATGGTGAATTCTAAAACTAAAATGCACTTTATAATAAAAAAGGCAAAATAAACTTACATAGACTTTCAAACACTGTAGTAGAAGTGGTACGACTTCGGCAAAAAAATCCTTTAATTTTCTCTATCATCAATGACCACTCGTTTGTCGAGCCACATTGACTTCTGCTGTTATAGGCCACAAACAGATATAAGAATTATAATTATTCAGAGCACTGAATGGGTTTATTAGAATATCAAGGTATATGAATTAATGAGCAACTTCTTGCCACCTCTTATTGCTGTATGTATAAGTTCTTTGTTTAGAAGACGCGTAAATTTGTTAAGAGCATCACTATGGCGTTAGTATAATTATAATAACTCCAAAATGAACGTGGGTACGAGAATGCGTATTTAGAGGGTTTCTATGAAGTAGACCTAGAGTCACTTTCTATCCGTTTTGAATTACTTTTCTGATATATTTCTCATAGAAAAAGGAATATCGATTTTTATTGATACGTAACCGAAACCTTTTCTCTGAAACTACCGCATAAGTTTACCTACCCCTTTCAACAAAAATTTAGTTGTAGTGACTAGAAATAGTTCTGTTCCTTATAAAGACTGTTTATTACTTTTTTCGAAAATTATCCCTACATATTTTTCAGTTATGTTCATTTTTTATTTATCCGTTATCCTGGGTGACAATTTATAAGCTATTTCTCTTTCACATTAGTCTAAATTCAAAATATATTCTATAGCAGTTCTATCTATAAATTCCAAAGGATTCGTCCCAGCGTCACGCTTATATCAACTACCCCACACAGGATAGTATTTTTTATTTTAAAATAAAAGTTGAAAATATTAAATTGCTGGGTCATTACGCAGAAGTATATTTTTAATAATTGCAGCATACCATATTCTGTTCATGTTGATAATTCTATTTTTGAATTAAAAGTTAGGCGGTGAAAACAGCTCGCCAATTTGGTCAGTTGACGCAGACCAGATCACACAATTAAACCGCTCGATCCAAGCTAATTTCTTAGATATATAAGATAGACTAAAAGCAAGAACATTTACCAGTTTTCGTCGTTATTAGGTCTCTATTGCTGATGATGGCTGTTTCACGTCTTCCGAATGGGTATGCTAACGCTAGTCTTGGGATTCACTTCTTAAACAGCTTCGTCAATTTATTATACGGAAACTATGACTCGTAAAGCAAGCGAACTTAAAATAACATAGGCCACATTTTAGCATGCATTGTGAACACTTACTACGAGATTAATTTTTATAAAAAAAAAAATGGGGATCGCACGAGAAATGCGCTTTCTAACCCATGTTAACCCATTTCTAAGCGATATTCATGTTGACTGACCTAATAAATAGAATGTATCCTATGCTATTAACGAAACCCAATATGTCAAAATTAGTCTCATTTTAAACGGTTTATCGTCAAGGCATACCTCAACACGCTAAGCTCAATGAATTGAAAACACGAGTAAGCATAAAGGTATGCAGCTTATTATTTTTAATAAATATAGCCATTGAGAAAAATAGGTTGTTGGCGCTAACGATTTCATTTCTGATGCAGTCAGTCAATCTTTCTCCGAGTCTGCAAGTTAAAGACTTGCTCGACTCAACTCAATTTAAGCCTCGATTTATTCACTCTTTAACCGACTCTTCAGTCATTTGTTTAGGCGCGGGTTCTCCTCCCTCAAGGGTTGTAGCTTTTTTGCTTCCACTGACAATATCATCGATTCGCAAAAGGAGAATAGCCGTCTCGATTGCAGTCTTGTAGGCCTGCAGTTTAACAGCTAACGGCTCCACGACCTGAAAGTACGATTGAAAAAACATAAAACGAGAGACTGTGCTAATCGTTGATAGAAATAATTCTTTGTCTAACTTTGAACACTGCACATTCTTTAACGACAATATCGAATATGTAACGAATAATTACACAACGGATGAATACCTTCAGACCAGGTTGGCATGTTTCTAAAATCACTCTTTATAGTCAACAGTTTATCTCAAGGTGCTCGACGACATGAAGATGTTCCCGAAATTGTCATTAATTGTCACTAAGAGCTGCTGAACCAGAAAATACAGAAATTTTAAGAGACAATGCTCCCTACCCTGAGCTCATCAGTTGTAACAACTTCGCCGGTTTCTCCATTGATAGCGAACCCATGATCGCCAGTGGCATGCTTGGCCCGCAGCTTTGTCAACGTCCTGATCGGATTTCCTCCGCAGTTCTGGATTAAAGTCGCAGGAATAACTTCAAGTGCCTTCGCAACAGCCCTGTATGGCCACTGACTTACGCCGGAAAGAACTTTGGCACGCTGTTGCAGCTCGTACCCAACGGCCATTTCAACAGCACCGCCTCCACAGACAATTTTGGGATCAAGAATGATGTTACGGGCCACCGCAAGCGCATCCTGTCGAACAAACAAAGCACCCTATATAATTGAAGGAAATATGTTTAATAATAAAATGTTATAAATTAATACGTATTGTATACAGCATTGATGTAACGTAATACAATCGAACCGGCTCAATTTATATATAGTAAAAACCATTAGTTTAGCTGTAGAACTTGTTTAGATCGGTGATGAAGATCATGTTAGAATGTGTGGGCAACCCGGTTTCTCATGAGCGGTTTCTCATATAACGACGGCTGCTTTGTAGAAGTACCTGAAGGTTGCGTTCTATCTCGTTCAGAATATCCTTGCTGGCACCACGTAATAGGACCGTGCAAGCCTTGGGCTCGACACACTCAGTAAGGAAGCAGAAATATTCGTCACCAATCTTCTTCACTTTGAAAAGCCCACAGCGTGTTCCGACATCCTCAGGCTTCAGCTCGTCGGTGCGATTGCAGATTGTGGCACCGCATACTCGGGCAATTCGGTTGTTGTCCGTTTTACGTACGCGTCGAATCACTGAAATGTTTGCCTGCATCAGGAAGTGCTGGGCCAATTCGGAAACACCTAAAATATAGAGTTTAAATTGTATTAATAGCAAACTTTATCGAACTTATTCGAATTAAAATGTAAAAATGATGAACGTGTTCGTATACATGACTGTGTTACAAAAAAATACCTGCATCTGTAGTCATGTTTGAGGTTTCTTAATAAAAAAAAGACAATCTGAAGTTTGCAAAATACAACCAAACAAGTTAACAAGTTTTGCTACTTCTTATCACTTAACCAATCATAAAATGTTACCTTTTTCAGTTATAAGAAGATCCGGTTTCAAGGCGATGATATCGGCGCACATCTGCTGGATATACTTTTCTTCGATCTCGAAAATCTTTGTAAAATCAGTTTCATTTGAAATTTCAATGTTAGTCTGTGATTCACCTTTCTTGTACTCAAGATTACAGTCTAACAACACAATACGTGGCTTCTCAATGAATCGCCTCATACGAGGGTGAACTACGTCCTTGTTAAGCATGATACCGTCCAGGACCTCAGATTCTTCAATCGATCCTCCAGGTACCTTTTCTACCTGTAACAACGAGTCAATCCGAAACATGCTTCATTACCTGACGTTGGTACAATCAGAAGGCAAATCTAAGTAATTCATTTTTAAGACCGGTACTACAGTCAAAACATTACTTCGGGAGGGTTGGCTCCAGCGCAAAACGAAGTGCGTAATTCTTTACTTTAAGAAGTACCTATGTTACCACAGCACTTTTGAAGTGACAAACAGGAAAAAGTATCGCATTCGTACTTGAAATAGTTAATATTCTACAGAATGTAACTAATAATTGTATATGTAATGGCTTAATCAAAGAAAATAGGGTAGCTAATTAATGCCATGGAAAAACTGTTACGCTAAACGCATTAAATACATGTAAGCTGTACTTTTGTCTAAATTCTAGACCACTGAAAAACAAACGTAATCCTTACATTTGCCCATTATATCTCTATAAAATAACCTAGTACGTTATTACCATCCATATATAACATACTTCTGCCACCTTAAATTTAGGTATTCAATAGCGATCAATTTGAATATACCTTAACATAAGTCTTGATGTCAATGTCCTTCGAGCCATGCTTATCGATACAAACGGTCTTAACAGCCTTGAGAGCCATCTCACAGGCCTGACTATTCCACTTTGACAGAAACTTTGTGCCAATACAGGAGTTGATCACTTCGGTCATCTTTTCCGTATTTTCGATGTCCACCGACTTGGCTACTTTATTCTTGAGGATATCGACAGCATCCTCAAGAGCTTGTCTGTACCCACCAATGATGACTGTGGGATGCATATTCTGGTCGAGGAATGGAATGGCACTGGCTAGCAATTCACCCGCAAGAACGATCACTGAAGTCGTTCCATCACCCACTTCTTCGTCCTGAGTCCGAGAAATTTCAATCATGGATTTCGCAGCTGGATGCTGCACCTGAATATCTCGAAGGATGGCGTTACCATCATTTGTCATGACGATACCTGAAATGAATAGGAAATCTAACGATGGTGTTTAAGCTATAAACATCATAATAATTTAAACAATAAGGCTTCACCACACGTTTTCCTTAATCTACATTAAACTTCAAGATAACTGATTCTTTGAAACGATAGGTTGAAATGTTATCATATCATTCTGCAAACACGTTACTGACGTAGAGTTAAAGTTCACAAGCCATGGAGTGTCTATTTCTAAACATTCGGTTTAATGCAAATGTTTCGAATAGTTGAAAATTCTTTCGTAAGATTGAATATAGCTTGTTTTTAAAATTCAAAAACCAGAATTTATCACTTTTAAGGCTATTCAGTATACGTTCTTACACCTATCTCGAAGGGTAAAGGTGGGCAAAAAGAACAAATAGCTTTTACAGCTTCTAAGTATAGTTCATTTCATATTTGGTCCCTGTATATTATTTGATGTATTGTATCAGGCCCGTTTAAAATGTGTTTCCTATGAGAATGTGAAGAGGCTCAGCTTTCGACTTAGAAAAATTCAGGCAGACGCTTGTGATAATCGATCTTTTGTGGGGGACTGAGAGCAGAGTTAAAGGTTTTGTGCAGAAAGGTTGAAAACTTTTAAGCTTCTAGTATAATAATTAAACCAAAATTTCTAATTTCTACAAGACAAATTACAGCGACGAAGAATATAACGTCTCAATGTGTCCAGCAACTGTCAGCCAATGCATCTAATACCATTGTTTCTACTCCCACGCTTGCAGGCAACTGGATCATGCAATTACTAAAATGTCTGCGTGGGATTTCGTATTAATATGTTTCTGTCTCAGTCTTTTTCTAACTAGGTGTAAATGTAAAAAATAAAGCCATTTCGTTACTTAGAATGCATAATGTTGCTTCCCTATAAACCCTTATTTTGTGTTGTTGTAATGCCGTTACTATGTCACAGGGTTTTTGCTATAGATTTCTCTCGAAAGTTACTTTTAGGGCTACTGAGCAGCGGCGCGGCAAGTATATTTTATGGCATAGAGATATGACGTTTATTCTATAGTGTAAGGGACTGAGACACAAGTGATTGACAGGTCGCATGTTTACAGTTGATTGTAACTAACCTCCTATGGGGTTAATGACCATTTTAAGCATAGCACGAGGACCGAGACAGGTCCTGATAATGTCTGCGACCGCTTTGGCCGCCTTGATATTATCGAGCTGAACCCTTCGGCCTGAATCGCGTTTCGTGTTAGGTTTCAACACCACGATAGGCATTTGGCCGACACCGAACATCGCTACGGTTCACTATGCAGGCCGAAAAAAGGACAAGGATAATTGCAGAGCACAGCGGGATTCAAAGATAGATGATGCACTTTTAATCACGGTCGTGGCACACAACGACTGATAGTTTGAGCTACAATAAACCGCACAAAGTATCGTTCCTTCCGTAGCGCGAAAAGCACGCGGCTCTCCAAGTATGGATCCATGCGTCGTCTGCACGGGAGCGACCCAATAGTACCACAGTTTTATCATTCTGAATCATTTGTGGTACTCAACATTTTATTCGTTTATTCGTTCGTTATTTATTTTTCATAACTTTTTTTTACGAGGGCTAAGTCCTCGTGAAAGGTCAAGAATGCTCCGACATGCGAGCGGTAAAATTACTCTCCGTAGCTCACTTGGACATGTCAATATTGAGCATACGTATTGCATGATGGTTAAGTATCCATCGTATGGTTTATCTATCTTTTCGTAGTATTTCACTAGAAATGCATAAAGTCTCTTGTTCATATTAAATCAGGACGCATTTCTCGATTATCAGCAGTCGGCTCAAAAATCAATATCGGTACTTTATTTTCCGTCAACGAAATAACTGCTTTTTCAAACAAAAATATTTCTCCCAACTACCAGGTGAAAATAAACATCTCCACACAAATTCGCTTACTGTGCCAAGTTATGCAGCTGCTCCATATATCTGTTTGTCTATTTCCCATATGCTGCTCTTTCTCCTCTTCGCTGATGAACTTCCATCGATTCAGTCCCTGCATATGGTTGCCATTTGTGGCACGAGCTTGTATACAATCGGAAACCGGAATCGGTGACCGATTGCGCGGTGCGGTATTTGTTGCTTCAGCAGACGATACCAGAGACAGCGCCGAACAACTATCGGAGTTCGTCCGCGTCTTGGTTCGCCAGTGCGGCTGGCTGGCTGTTGTGAGGCTGTCGTTAGGATCCAGTGTCGTCACAGAGTGGTTTTCGTGCTGGTTGTAGTGTTGTGTTATTGATGGTGATCGGTCGGCGGTGTTCGCTGCTCGTGTAAAGCGGCTGGCATTCTTGTCGAATATCGGCAACCTAACGTCTGTGTTTGTGCGAAGAGCAGCGAAACTTCATTTGACACCATGGGCGAAGACAGAGACCGAGATAGGGACAGTAAGTATTCGCAAAATGTCGTCGGTTTCGCGCCGCCGATCATTCGACTGGTCTTACACAGCTCACGAAAGGGAACACACACAATCGACAATCGAATTGCGCTCGATGCGCTGCAGAACGCCCGTGACTGACTGACTGACTGGTTGTTGGATTCAGACGCGGCAGAATCTAGAAGTATCATAGATTTTTATCGGCCTCCTATGAAGTATTGCAGACCGTTTGTCTCAACATTTCGCCGGGCAGCTGGCGCGTTGTGTATCGAGTAAATACGACGGCGAACAGAGGCGATACTGAAATATGAACATCAACTCTCATGTCCACGTATGGGCGTGGGATATGCATCGTACGACAATGTAAACTCTAAGAATGTTTGTTGATTGTTCGATTGTACAGTAACTTTTACAGCGTACTTCCTGAATTAAACCAGTTACACGGACGTAGGCGAATTGTTTTTCTACTTTATCATGGATTTCATCATCGATCCATTTCTAACGAAACAGCTGAAATACGAAACTGCCTTAAACGAAATCGATGTTAACATTTTCTACTATATATTCCAATCGTTGTTCTTTTTTTAATAATTATATATTAGTGTTTCTTAAAAAGGCCAAATTGTAAATTTACAAAAAAAATCAAGTAAGTGCAGTATTTTGTTGTAACATTCTTAAGATACATTGCGTTATGCCATACCTGAGCCAAAGCCTTAGAAAATACAGTCAAGATTCAGTTCTTCAATTCATAGCGGTGCCTCGAATGGGCTTTTAAGGGTCAACGTAGCCCCAGCTATTGCTGAACATGACAATCAGTTGCTACCTGCATTCCTTATTAAGCAATTCATAACTACGACAACAACAAAAGTCAAGTGAGAACCTAAGCAGTCACTGTCGCTGCACCTACTATAGCTCAAAAGCGTCGGCGTTTGCTGGTGCTCACCAGTTGGATACGTACATTGGAATGCCACGTAGTGCCAATTGTAGTCAGTAAAACAATATAACAAATGTACTCGTTTTTCAAAATAACTGAACATGCTCCTCTAGCAGGACCGCAATCTAACATTTTGCTAAAAAGTTACCGATTTTTGTTGAGCAAAGGCACAGTGGCCCTCAAATGCAACTTAATTACCCCGCTCGCATGTTTACTAATAAATGGTAGATTTAAGCGTTGAGAGTTTTGCAAGAAACAACAACAACTTTAAAAGCTAGTTATTTTCTCTCTTTTACTGGTCGTAGAGTTTTTGACTCTAGCGAAACATTGACCTATAGACTAGGTTACTATATTCGTTAACAACGTGCCTTTATTAGTTACTGGATGGTTGCCTACGGTTTATTTTTCAAAGGAAAAAATTTGCAAATGTTCGATGATTATTTTTACTCGCTTTCTTACTCAGTAGTTATAGCTTAACTATTTTGGATTTTTTTTTTGTTTTGGATGCTAGAGCTTCGAATGTAAACCTATTAAGAATTTAGAGCATTTTTTTCTATTGATATTGTATGAGATCTAAATGCGTAATAATTTTGTTGCTTTTACTGGTTTATTCATTAATGGTTCACCTCTATTTTCGACACGTTCTCCTTTCTTTATGATTTCTTCAGGACGGCGCCGTTCAAGGTCACGGGATCGCGGCCGCGACCGCTCCCGGGAACGCCGACGCTCGCGATCAGATTCACGCGGGCGTCGCGGAGCCCAAGGCGGCGGCGCCTGTGGGAAGCTGCGTCGAAAAAAGCCATCACTTTACTGGGACGTGCCAGCACCTGGCTTTGAGCACATCACTCCGCTGCAGTACAAAGCGATGCAAGCGTCCGGACAGATCCCGGCCACGCTATTGGCACCGCCTATCACTACAGATCATCAGCCATCCCAACCGGTTGTGGGCAGTACGATCACTCGACAGGCACGACGATTGTACGTCGGCAACATTCCGTTTGGATGCACTGAACAGGAGATGATTGATTATTTCAATGTGCAGATGCACGCCTGCGCCTTCGCGCAGGCCCAAGGCAACCCGGTACTGGCGTGCCAGATTAACATGGATAAGAACTTTGCTTTCCTTGAGTTCCGTTCAATCGATGAGACGACTGCGGCTATGTCATTCGACGGAATTAATTTCAAGGTAATGGGAGCACAAATTCACAATGACGTCTTTGGAATATCAAAATCTATAGCGTCCTGTATATATTGAGTTTCGTTTATAATGAAAATTACACGGGTCACGTGGCTGTCGCCACTCTACATATATATTAGCTATCCAACTCATATTGGGTAAAGATATATGGGAAGTCCACTTAGCCATGAATATTACTTTCTTCAAACGAAAGCTTTGTGATGGGACCAAGTCTTTTCAGCTGAAACGATATACTGCATTGTAGCGTTACTGAAATTTGGCATACTACGTTCTATAAAAACCGACTTGAACTCACTATATATTACGTAATATTCTTGAATTATATTGGGTTAGCCAAGTCCAAAAAGTTTGACCCAAACGACGAAACAGGTTTGACGAAAGAGCAAACATTCTACTTCCTCGACACTGCATGTTCACTGAGAAAAAATATTAACTTAAAAACAGCAAATGGAGCGATATGAAGGAAATCGCTTGCTCAAAGTGAATCACTTAAATTTTTTTTTATTGATATAGGGTCAATCTTTGAAGATCCGTCGTCCGCACGATTATCAACCGATGCCAGGAATGTCGGAGCAGCCTGGCTCCGTTATACCTGGCGTGGTGTCCACTGTAGTGCAGGATTCGCCACACAAGGTATTCATCGGTGGACTTCCAAATTACCTAAATGAGGATCAGGTTCGCGAATTGCTGATGTCTTTCGGACAACTTAAGGCGTTCAATCTTGTCAAAGATACAGCCAGCGGTATGTAAACAAGTGACGGTAATTCGATTTCATTCTTTGGCTGCCCTTAAACTTGTTCATCTTGTGTTGAAAAGGGAGAAAATTTGTTTTCGTTTTATAATCGTATATATGTAGAAGTCTAAGGATCGAATAAGCTCACCAGTTTCACCAAATCGATATCCAGAGTTGAATGCACGTTGGTCAGGGCTGATTTAGTTTAATCTCTATTTCTTTAAGTATGTACTACCCATATTAATCGTTATCGCCGTATTTAAAGGCCTATCAAAGGGATACGCGTTCTGCGAATACGCCGATGCAGCGATCACAGACGAGGCAATCGCTGGCTTGAACGGCATGCAGCTTGGCGAAAAGAAGCTGATTGTTCAACGAGCATCGGTCGGTGCCAAAAACTCGTCGATGGCCGCACCGGTACAAATTCAAGTACCGGGAATGGCGTCCGGCGTACCTGGTTCCTCCGGTCCAGCCACCGAAGTGCTCTGCCTAATGAATCTTGTGACACCGGATGAACTTCGCGATGAAGAGGAATATGAGGATATACTCGAAGACATACAGGAGGAATGCAGTAAATACGGTCACGTGAAAAGTATCGAAATTCCTCGGCCCATTGACGGAGTCGATGTCAATGGGCTTGGCAAAGTGTTCGTCGAGTTCAACTCGATTGCCGACTGCCAAAAAGCACAACAAGCGCTCACCGGCCGAAAATTCAGCAATCGCGTTGTGGTAACATCGTATTTTGAGCCGGACAAGTATCACCGCCGTCAATTCTAATTGCGGCCCTGGCGTACTGGCAGTATACGTCAGGCCAGGACAACAATCGTAAATTGGATGGGATTAAAATGTTTAAAGCATTAGGGGTTGTAGGAAGTAGCATTGATCAGCGATTCTCGTTTTGAAAATTCATCGTATTTTTTTTTGTTTGAGCTGGAATAACAATGCCGTAAGCATAATTTGGTATAAAGTTCGTAGCCACTTATTTCCTTCTATTTGTCGCATCACAGTAGAAACCAGCAGACTAGCTACCAGTGGCGTTGCCTTTTTGCCACATGGAAAAAACAGAAATCAGTTCGAAAGTATTCATAAGAAGCGTTTTATTTCTGCCCTGTCAAAGTGAGGCTTATATGCAGCACTGGGAAAGGTTAATAGTTGACATTATACAATATGGAGAAGGACGAAAGGAAATGAAAGGCGGAGATCAGAATATGTGGGAGGATGCGATTGGTTGTTTTGGACACACCAAGACCCAAGAGCACACATTCTTAGAGGGCGTGTGGGACGCGCGAAAAAACCCGTGCGAAAACTCAAGTTAAGAGGCCCACATCCTATTCTCGGCCACCTCAATATTCTACCATGCTCTTCTATGTACATTGTCTCTCATCATATATTACTAATTACTATAGCTAAGAAGTATAAATTAAAAGAGAAAGATGCAACAATTACGTATGCCGAAAAATATAGAAAAGTAACATCCAGCATGTTCACCCCATACACACCAATGCATATATAAATAAATAATACCAGCCATCGTTTTCATTAACACGATAGTCATCTGCGTTTTCCTTTGAACATATTTATTTACATTTTAATATGTAAATGCATATATACGGACAATTTTCATGTGTCTGTGTTTAAGTCTTTGGATTAATTACGTTATGCTAGAATTACCGTCGCAGACGATTCGAAAAGTAATTTAACGCTCGTTAATCCAAAGACTATCCAAAGAATATATATATATATATATATATATATTGGGGCGTATTCGGATCATTGAATCCGAGTAAGTTAACCTTACTACGAGAAAAAACAAGGCTTGAATTGGCTCCTATAATCCCCAATAAATTCGCCATAAATTGTTCCAAATTGAATTCATGACAGGTGTGCAGCATATTACAATAACAAAAGTTACATTTACAACCGAACGGCGTAACTGATACGCATTTAGCCACTTTGTGAAATGGACAAACTCCTTGGTTGATGATTTGAAAATTACATGCTCGTATTACCACATTATTTACACTAAGACTATCGTCGGCTTTTTATCCTGAACAATAAGGCAAAGATTAGCTAGAAGCGAAGAAAGCTGTAGCAACGATCCTAACCCCTGTAGGATAGTCATGTGAGTTAGGCCGATTTGCTTAACAAACTCCAGCTTAACAAATTCGGCTAATCCTTGGTGAGATTTTGTCACGCGGAACATGTTAGATATGATATCTTCTGCTGCATAGCCTAAGGAGTAAAGGGTTTTCATCCGAGTGTATGCTTCGTCGATATCGCCCTGAAACGATTCGTTAACCACTTAATTAGTGAAAATGCATATTTGTTTAAAAGCGTTGGAAGGTACCTCCGGTATGGTAATACCTGTTCGGGTCAAAGTAGGGAGTTCTAAGCTCCAGTCGTTTTACGCATTAATGTGTAACGAATGCATAATGTATTGAAATACCTTAACAGTTCAAGGCTCCTTTATGATTCAAAATTTAAGTAGCTCAGATTGCAAAGGTCGATTCCTTACAAAAATTAAATTTGTAAAATTATCTAGCTAACGATTAGGTTACTCAAAAGTACATTTTTCACACTTCACCTGTCCTTTTATCAGACATGGCCTTCTTTGATACACTTTACACAGCTTTTATCGTTTCTGTTACGTACCTCAGCACTCATGAACGATTCAGTCTTGGCTCTCCTTTTAACGACCATGAAAAAATAGGTACTAGAAGGGCCTTAGATACCTTCAAGCACGCCTACCTTTGAGCAAAACTCGATTATCTCTTTGATAATGAGCGGATGGGGTTCATCGCACACTTTGAAGACATTTTTTGCATTGACGTGCCCGAAGCCAACATGTGTTGACTGAAGGTTACCAATTGCTTGGCGCATATCGCCTTGGGCCGTATAGACGATTGCCTCCAGGCCGTCTTCGGTGTACGAAATATTTTCCTGTGGAAGGATGTCACCATAGTAAGCATATATGCCGATTGACAATTTCTAATACAGTGCTAAATCCAATTAGATAAAAAAAATAGAAACAAAAATTTGAAAAGAAAGACGAATCTGTTTCCTAAAAGCTTGTGTCCTATAGACTGTCTCAAGTACCATTAAGTGTCGATTGCAGTTCAGCGCATCGTAGGTATGATTATAGGAGTATTGCGAGTTGAAAGAAATATTTATGACAAATAATAATAATAATAACAACTAAGCGAACGTTTCGAATTCTACGTTCGATGCTGGCGTTGAGTATTGCTTCAAGCAATGATGCTAAACTAATTATAATTGTTGACAGCTTGTAGGATCTTTTATAAAATATCACTCCTAGTTAAATCGAATTACGTTGGCGATTGTATGATAAGGTTATGATTATTTTATGCGATTTATAGTCGTGATCAACATTAATCGGTTTGTGTGTTCACTTAAAAAAAGGCGAGTAATGTGCGGTGCTAAATATTTTTGCCACGAACCTTTCTGCACACATCGATCACCTTAGCAAGAATCTGGGCGTCGTTAAGTTTTCCAAATCGAACAACAGCGCAACGACTCTGAATGGGTTCGATAATCTTATCTGACGTGTTGCAAGCTAATGCGAAACGGGTCGTTTTAGAATAATTTTCCATTGTGCGTCTTAATGCCTGCTGAGCGCCCTCTGTCATGGAATCGGCCTCGTCGAGAATGATAATCTTATGTCGACCCCGTGGTAATGTAACCTTATTTTTTTACCACACCAATCAAAAAATAAATACCAGTTACTTTTGTTAGATCGCAAAAAACGTGATATATTGTATGGGCCTCCTATCAATAATCGGAGTTCTACATATTTAACAATAAAATATAAAAATTGTAAAAGTAACAAAACCAACAAGGTATTATTTGAAGCCCATACCGTAGGGTCCTACTCTGTGAGCACAGCCTCATACGATGAAAAGTTCTGGCTCGGTAAGCAAATGCATTTCCAAGGCTTGAATGCACAAGTTTTAAAACTAAGTAGAATAATATAGTTCTGAATATCGAAACCTATAGTATCTTCGACGAAAGCCACTATTTTCTAGTAGGGAGGAATAAGATGTATAGAGTGTTCAGTACCGATAACAAAAGTTCTTTTTTCGATGTATATGCATCGATCCGTGTAAATCAATTTTTAGATCGCATCCATTGGTAACAGGTAAAAGATCGCGCACCTTGGTTTGAGCAAACATTTTAATCTTATTTCGAACAACATCGATTCCACGATCGTTCGAAGCATTCAGTTCGAGCACGGCATCCTTGAACGAGTTCCCAAGAAGCAAGCGTGCCAGGCAAAGTATAGTTGTAGTTTTACCCACGCCAGGGGGGCCACAAAGGATAATGTTTGGCATATTTCCTATAACAATATAAGAAAATAAAAAAACACAGTTGACGATTCGTCACAGCGGTATAGCTATAGGAAGGCTATATTGGATGTTCAATTTAAAAAACGTCTCTACTTCATAGAAGCGAAATACTCGAATTTTCAAGTTAAGGGGTAGTGTCGGCCGGTCAATGTTCGCCTACTGAAACTAATTGTAGCTTCGATTTGTATCCATCTGGACCCTTCGGGATATTTTGAAACTGAAACGATAAAGTTGCATTTATTTATTCTTATATTCTCGTGATAATATGTTACGTTTGGTTAGAACCTATTCTCGATCATTTTTGACGGTATTACCCTCAGGCTACATATATACACTCCAATTTCGTTTAACTATAAATAACTGGATTAATTTTAAATAGTCATTCAAGCACGCTAGTAACTAGATATAGCTTGTTATATAAAGTCGAGCTCGGACTTCCCAGTTTGTTAGCAGCAAAAATCCATGGCTTGGTTATATAATAATACTTGACCAATTGATGTTCGCGAACGTATCCATACAACTCATAAATTATTTTCAAAATCTACTGCTGCGACAAATGCTGCTTAAAATACCTTAGAAATAGCTGCTACTGTGCATATTGAAAATTGCAAAATAAGCGGGTTAAGCAGAGGAGGTAAATGTAATTGATTTCAATATTGAACGTAAAAATCAATTGAAAACCGTACCTTGTCGCGAGAAGACTTCCAGCCGTGCTACGGTTTCCTCATTACCGACGATTTCCGTAAATTTCTCAGGCCGATATTTTTCTACCCATGGTGACTCGTTAGCCATCTTGGTACTTTACCAGGCTTTTGCAATAGGGATCGCTAATTTAGATAGGGAAAAAATATTTTATCACAAAATAGAAAATAGACGTTTATGCAGCGCGTAAATATGCAATTTGAATCATTTCAAAAGCATAATATCTTGATGCAAACTTTTTGTTTGCTAAAACACTTGCTTTGTTTATCATTTAATTTTTTGCTGGGTCTATTATATTAGGATACTCAGGATTGCAGTAGATAGTGTCAGTATCCTAGAGTACAAACTAAGATTAATCACACGTAAGATAATCGTAACTGAAATGGTATGTACGTCATAGGTTTGGTTTATACAATAGATTCAAACAGACATTTAAGTGAAAAGCTGGGCATGCTTCATTCGGTAGAGTGCTGAAGATGTTATGGAACGTAGATAAAAGGGAAAATTGTAAGTTGATTCATGTATCCTATAGAATTCATCAAATACCGGATGATTTTAGACTCACACAATGCTTCATTAGTACTTTGCACGATTATGACTATACGATTTCCCAAAGTAAACTGATTTTGGGTACGATGTAATGGCTGGTGATGTAGGCAGGGATGAGTCTTAACCGATATGTCAAGAATTATCGCAGGTTAGATTACCAGCTTAAACCGAGTTGCATTGCAACATGAGACTTGTTATTCTAAAATCACATTTTTCTGTCGAGTACATCATCTAAAGAACCGCGTCATATGCAAACCGTTCAGCAACATAAAACTTTCACATTATTTTTATTCTTCTCTGAGAAGCTATGTAGAGCATTCAATATCCTAGATACATATATATTGGTAAACACATTGGCACAACTCACAGATATATGATGCCCAACGGCAAGAAATCGATGAAACTCGCTTATCGTTATAAAGAATCACTAAATATAAAACTGGCGCCAGACTGGTAGCTAATTGTTGTTTATAGGGGCTTCGTCGTTTAAAGTTCTTTCGGAGGCGTGCGCATTAAACAACCTTTTCCGCGCCAACATTTGAAATGACTTACGTGGGTAGTTGCCAATCCCAAGAATTTTACTCATTTATGGATTATATAAATTCGTCCTGATCTAAACTTTACTGAATTTCCTGTAGTGCCAGTTGTTGTTTTTACGGATTACCGATTTAACTCGATATCTTTAAAGAAAAAAAAAAAAAAAGACTTTTAACGAACCAAAATAAAATGCTCCTCAAAATCTTGAAACCTTTTTCAAAGTGATTTATGTTCTTAATGCTTAGTAAATACTACTGCTTACAGCTAGTTTGCATAGTGGATATTTTGTTTTGATAAATGAAGTTAAATCTTGTAAGTGCGCCCCTAGATATTAGTCATAACTATAGAATCGAAAAAGCTTTCGTTCATTGGCAAAATTATTTTTAATCTTGGAGCAAGTAATGCACAAAAGAAAGTTCCTTTTTACTACTTGTTTCGGCGTATTTTTACGTCGTGACTTCATGTTCTAGTTGGGGTTAAAGCGTAAGCTAAAGCACCGCGGCATCAACAGGGCGGCTGACCTTCACACCGGAATTCACGTACTTTCACAGCCGTGTGATGCCGTGAATTAGGTTGACGGACAGGATAGGGAGTGGCGGGTCTATGAGAGCCACTTCGCTTTTATCAAAACGAAAAAAAACGTTTACTTTAAAGAGGCTATTATCTAGCAATTAGCAAATTCATGCGGGTTAAACATTCGATGCAATTCGAATTACTGTACATTTTGATCAAATTTTAAAAAAGGGCTACTTGAGCCGGTGAAATGTTTTTTGTTTAACTTTAAGTAAAATAAGAACAAAAGTTTGTTTGACCGTAAAAAATTGTGATGATTACTTAATTATTTCCAACGCAAATTCTCTTGTTCTAGATTTACATTCTCCAAAGCGGGCCAAGTTGTATCGAGTAACTATTCTGGGGGCTATATGGGCCGTGGTAAAATGTGTCCATATCGGCTACCGTATCATGAAAGGCATATATTGAAGAGGCTGTCATTGATTTTTAATTGGACAGAAAAATTTTAGCGAACTAGTTTGTCTCACGCCAAAACCCAATAAAGTGGGCATATATGCTAATTATGAAGGGTTTGTGTGAAAACGTCTAGGAATCGAGAAAGCCGATTTTGATGTGAAAAACAAATAAATTTTACTCAGTTCCTAGTGGTAGAGTTACCGTGGCATAAAGTGAATATTTATATTGAGTTTGGCGAATTTCAACCTCGAAAAAATAGATTTATGTCTTTTATATAAAGGGTTTTGAAATGTGTACATGTATCAAATCGAATGAAGCCATACAGATTTCTCTGTCGTAATAGTGCTTGCTGTTGCCATCAGCAACACCCCATATATCCCCCTCCGCCCCCTGATGATTGTTTTGCGAAAAAATTGCCACGACGAATCGTTGAGACTGAAAAAATCGTCGACACATGCTTTACGTCGTGGCAATTATGATCAGGAATCGTTATTTAGCATGGTCAATTCTTCATACAAGGATCTTGGATAAGCACAATAATTGTTTAACACGGATCTCAGTGCAGTCAACTTGGAGTTAAAGCGAAACGTGCGCCTTAAATTTGTTTTATTGTTTATATTTTTTTTTGAAAAAGAAAACCTTCAATCAAAACCAAAAATTATTTTCCCAGTTTTTGAGTCAACTGAAGGATTATACGTACAAAAACCTTATCTCAGCTGAGAAATACTAAATTAACTATTTTGTAGGCAGTTAACAGGCAAATCAGTTTCCCATGTAAGCCGTAGGGAATATCAAAATGTTTTCACCAATCAGATAGTAATTAGCTATTTTGACGTATGAATAATAGACGTTATTGTTTACTTATTATTTTCACACTAGGCCTATTAATGGGCCCAAGCTGTTTTTTCAATGGTGAGCATGTGTGCCTCGGCATTGTGGCTCGTGCATTTCCAACAGTTAAAAAATCAAAGGATATTTTAATAATAAATGTACAAGTATCGGTCAATTTCAGCACGATATAAATAGATATACAAGGAGCGCCAAAAGCTTTGGTAATATTAAAGATTATTATTGAGATGCGTAACATTATCAAAAACACGCTAATATTAAGCTTCTTACTTGTTTTCTATATATGCAAACTAGTTTTTCGACTTCACAATATGCTATATTTCAACATAAAGACGGTGGTGATAATAATTACATTTAGGCATCAACAGTAGTTAAATAGGGTGAGTTCTCCTGCAGAAAGGCCCAGGTCCAACTTAGTTCCATACACATACTTTCTGTATCAACTCGGTCACCTCAGCAGCCAATCAGATCAGGATAACTTGCATTTTAGTCTCCGCCTATAATCACCTTGTCTCAACAATTCATAGTTAACAAAGTGTTTAATCCCCGTATATTATCTACGTAAGGAATACTAAGACACTAAAACAAAACCACATCCAATTTATGAGCAATGTGCACTTTTTGTACTAGTGACACAAGCCCGTGTTGTCCGAAGAGCAATCTTTATAAATTGTCTTAAAAAGTATACTTTATCTCTTTCGAACATAATCTTTCTTTGTCGGTCCCTCAACCTTTCTTTGTTTACAGTACCCGAAAGCCGCTCTAGAAACCATTCACTATAACTAAGTATCTGAGAAAAAGCGTGCAAATTTATTTTCGATATCTCTTGGCCTTACTTCATTACTAATTTCATGATGTTCTTTTCGAACAAGCTGTGGCTTTATGCTGAAGTAATAATAATATTGCTATTATAAGCAAAGGCATATGAATATGCCTATTTGATAGCGAAATGAATAAAGTTTTGGCTATCATGAATTATGAATTCAAAAAGTTTTAGTTATCTAATAGATCATAATTCGATTTAATGATTCGTACTTGGTGATGTTTTTATACCGCCGTGACACCCTCCTCAATGTTGACGACAACGAAGATTATCACAAAAGCGAAACGAAGGAGCGACATTTTGAATTTTGATCTTAGAATAAAAGCAACGTTGTACTGCGAGGAAAAAAATCATTTAACTGATAATAGACTCTCGAAAATTTCTACAATAAGAGAATTTCGAAATATTTTATTTTGATCATAATGCAATTATGTCAGAGATCGATAGGGACTACTTTAGGAAAAGTGCTTACAAGTATTTGGCTACTGTGATTTAGTGCGATTACGGCGAAAAAATATTATAGCAGAAATACTGAGTTCTTTTCCTGTTCGAACTGTATTGGCTTACAAAAGTGCTTAATTACTTTGTTATAATATATTGTCTTTTAATGATCAAACAGGAAATACGTTTTCAATTATTATAAAATCAAATTACGTAAAAAACACAGTCGATAAGAATATCTGTTTAACATACGCAGCGACTATTGCTGCGGCTGTCATCAACTCTAAATTCAGCGTTGCCGTATGGCTACAGTGTCGTTTCATAGACACATTCCCGTTGAGTCTTCCGGTGGAAGCAGGTTGTTGGTGCCACACTCAAGAAGGTAATTCCGCTAACGGTGGTAATAGCCAAAAAAAATTAGAAAACAAACGAATTTTTGACCGTCTATATAATAAGATGCGAAGCCCAGTAGTTACTGAGAATGACAGAGTGATCTCATCTATACGATGTATAGGTGGAAGTGGCGCTATTTAGAACCCTAGCAATTCATACTTTTGCTTGATGAATCGCACAACTCGAACCGTAGGCAAAAAAGGAAATAAAACAAAGTGCAAATTTGGAGAGATAGCACTGCGACTGTATGAAGGAGGCAGACCTTCATTCAGCAAGTTAGCATAACAAATGCTAGTGAGAAGATAGGATTATCCTAATGGTACAAAACAACAGTGAAAGCTTTGCAATGATAAAAAGTGAAAGATTAGTTCTTTAGGGACTGCTAAATCGAAGAATAAAAATAGAAATAAGTTGGTGTTTTAATCTGCCCGATGTGATTTTGTCCTGTAGTATCATTCAGGCTAATCTGCTTAAAATGACAGGATAGTAGCGTTTTTTTGGGTGCCACCGCGTGCGAAAATGAAGTCCTGCAGCATTATGTACTTCACAGCTCGAATTCTGCCGAACTTGAGGTCTCTCTCTTAAGAGTTTTCGTGCCGTACCTACACCCTAAAGGTAATAACACGATAAAGTTACTTGAAGTTTTTAGCGTTTTCTATTCAAATCGATTTTCTTTGACAACATACTAGAATCGTGTAGCATCGACGCCATTTTCTGAATCACCTTTTATCTATACACGACGAGCACTTTTTTCGCTGTAGTGTAGGATGCACACTAGATATCTCGTTTCTCTCAGATTTTATCACTAGCATCCGTCGAAAATATCTCAAGTAGTATCTTTCCATTTGTAACATGTCTCTATGCTTTGAGTTTTACGTCCGGTATCGCCGTTTGGCGTTCCATCAGACGGCTGGTATCTAGCACGAGAGGAAGTCTGTCTATGCCCGGGTTTAAACCTAGGCCACAATGTCCCCCTAAGATTAGCACGCAAATACGTAACCCACTTAGCTATTACGGGGACCCATTTCTAACATCTAATAAAGGACATCCCGTCTTTCATCATAAACAACTTCAAGGAATTTGTCGTACTGCGGAAAGACATACATAGGAGAGACGTACTGCGAAACATCTACTATCTTGTATTTAACGAGTAACTTCATTTTTTTGAGCACGGTTGATGCCGTTAGTTAACACGCAACATATATGTTTATATATATATATACGACGAGAGTGGAACTCTTGACGGTATTCACCATAGCGTAGGGCGACCTTGAGGTAGCCCATAACAACAGGCGGACCGTCGTCTTAACATGATCATCGTAAGATTCGACGCAGTAGTAGATATTCCGGGGTGCGTACTCGCTAGTAGGATTTTATTAGGTTGTAGGAAATGACGAGTTGCGTACAGTTAAGCGTCCACGAGTGTAGTCTCAGCAGCCGAGGAAAAAGATTCTGTTTGAGAAACTGAAAATAGCTTTTTAAGGATGAACTTTCTTAGAATGAGGAAGGTCTAAGGTTGTATATTGGGTCACGTGTGTAGGTAGCGTAGCCGCATCTTACGGCTTAGCGGGTCACTAGATATGCTAAATATATGAAGCATGATATACTTGATGAATATTTGATAAAATATAGAAACTATATTTAGTATAATAGTAAAAAGTATAATAAATATTTACATAGCCATCTGAGCATAATTGTCAGTCTTCACCAGAGTAATTTTAGGCTTTAGCTTGATACGAAGCAAATTACCGATGCAAGTATAGATCTATAAAAAAAAAAAAAGTTAAGATCATTCATCATAATATTATTAAGAACACAGAAATTGTGGTAACATTTTAGATCTTTTTGTCAAAGATTGCCGATTGCCAACCAAGTTCCCTCTCAAAACTTGGTCGCTACTGTAGTCAGACAAAATTTGACAACGCTTCGCGGCTTCAGAACTTACCTCACACGACTGCTGAGTATTTATATTTGCGGCTGACAGCCAGTGGAATGGTCAGGTGTTTGAAGATCACAAATGATTACACTAGAAAAAATTACTCTTCTGTATAAAGCTATCTATGATAAAGGCATGGGGGCTATCATCTATCTAATTTAAATTTTTGCGGCATATGCATACAGCACTTTACCATATAAAGAGTTCTTCTGAGTTTTAACTGTTAAGATAGACATTTATTTTTGCCATTCGTCGTCGGGCCATACAAAATGATATACATGTTTCACCCCAGCCAGAAGTCAGCTTCACAAGTACATGACTCGTGACCCCGCCATGACGTTAAATAAGCCAATGCTATAGGTATGTTTATTTGGAAATAATTTTTCCTTTGTCTTAACTTAAAATTGTGTTGAAGCTTGTCGTAAAAGAAGATGTTTTGATACACCTATACAGATTCAATACGCTAGGGTATAAATGCGCATTTCGATACTGCTGTGCCCAATGTGCTTTGTAACACTATTCGAAGCTAAAAAAAACACCTAATATGAAAAGAATAAGCCTAATCTAATATTGGACGAGGTGCTGAATATTGCCAGTTTGTGGATGTTGGTAACGAGGTTTCGCAGCTTGGAGTGATGACTGTCTTATAGCAGAGAGAGCGCGATAATGAGGCGTTTTAAGTAGGTCGTTTGAAAACGATTAGCAGGCTATAAATGCCCTGGTGAGCTCTAGGAAATAAGATATCATAAATTAGGATGACTTTCTTAAAACCTAGAGACTTAGGACAAGACTCAACTCTGGCACTTTGTAGACGTCGTGACAAAATATACTGTAATTTCCCAGTATTAAATCAGTTGCGAACGCAAGCACCACTTAGAGTTATCATTAAATATATATAAACGTTTCAATTGTTTTTCTTTTACTTCTAGCGATTGATCTAACCGTTCTTTCAGTATGATTTATACGTAATAATAGGTGATCTCACCTCTGCAGAATTAGTCGGTTTCGCCTAGTATCTATGTTCTATAATAATGAATTTCTAAAGTAAAGACTTTCAACGAGTTTAATTGTGAGACAATTCCAAAGTGCGTTCCCCCTTCATTGATTTGACATTTATGTGGGCATTTGATCGTACCGTAATATAGTTTCTAAATAACCATAGCTAATACATAATGTTTGTGCTGCGTTGGTGATTTATTGAGATTCCATCTGTTCGGGAAGCGGCTTCCGGAACGGTTGACAACAAAGATGGCTCATTGATCCACTTCAGTTTCTGATCTAAATAGAGCCGATTCAATCGCCGTGTTGATGGGTGCGAAAGCAAAAACACAATGAGATCCGTGAAACTGAAACAAGGTAATGGCATCCAGTTTAAATTATCTGAAAATCCTAAATAAAACGAGATTCTGTGCAAGTGCAATTATGGATTGCTATGTCTTAATACTTCAATGCATTATTACTTAGCTTGGAACATTTTGTTCATATATTATATGAGTGTGTCTAACTGCCAAGTGTTGGGTTGAATTTTTCATCGGAGGCATAATGAATATCCTGCCTGTCGATTATCTATTAACAAATTTAAGTAGTGTTTCCGTTGACCTTCATTGTAGCTTATTCAATATTATAAAGTGCACGCCTATACGCACTCAAAGCCGTTCCATTCTGTATATTAAACAAAGCTGTAAATATAACAAGCAAAATAGAAGAAATCGCGATTTATATTATCCGCCATTCCCCATAAGATCAGATATTTTTTCAATAAATGTAAGCTTTCAAGTACATCATCCTGAAAGAGGTACTGTAATCTCGTGCGGTGGTGTGGCATGAACAGACAAAGCAGATGAGAGATGCGATAGCAGCCGACATCATGGTCGGTGAGGCAGCAACAGCGCTCCAATCACTCAAGATCAACAGGACGGTCGATTCAGATCAGATCGTACCCGAGCACATCATGGAAGTCATAGCGTTGAACCCATATTGGGCTACTTTTTACAACGTTTATCACATGATGAAAATACGCCGGACGACTAGTAAAAGGCGTTCCTTATTATTATTATTATTATTATTATTATTATTATTATCTTAAAGGGCAAAGGGCTGGTATTCGAGAGCCGAGCCTGAGGAAAGGAATCGCAAGAAGGGCTGTTGCAACAAAATACACGCAGCCATACTCCTCGTGCGCTCCTCCGCTTAACTGAACGAATAGTTATCTTGCACAGACGACCTCATATGGCATCAACATCATCTGGGAGAGCCTTCGCACATCCCAACTGTATAAGCTGAATTGGGTGAAGCCTATTGTTTTTTTTCGGGACACATCGTGCAATAATCGCTACGTGTACTTGGTAACGGGTACGTTGTTATTTGATGGGCATCTATAACGTCAGTTTGGTTTACCAAAAACTAGGAGCTTTTTTAAAACTGTTTAGGAACCTTAGAGCATTGACATGACGCCAAATGTGTCAACCGAACCTGTAGAATAAATCGTATCTTTGATAGCGCCATGGAACGCTCCGAATTGCATTTTTTTTACTGAGTGACGTAAATCAATGTTTTTTACTGGACCTAATCTGTCATTTTGGTAAATAGACCGACAGCACGGCACCAGTACACGTGATTTAAATGCATGTATACACAAAGAACGCTAGTAACGTAAAATATAAAAAAATAATAATAATAACAATAAATACATGTGTAGTTGGGGTGGCTGATGCGTGTGTGGTTTGGCCGCTCGGCCTTGGTAAGCTTTAGCTAGGCTAATAAATGAGCATATGTGCTACTGTCGACTATTTAATTTCCTGCTGTAAGACTGGATAATGAATAATTAGTGAAGCAATTGATATGAGGCCAAATTTAAATACTAACTCTACCTCATTCCGAAGGTCTGTTTCATTCGGTCGAAGTCTTGTCCCATGTTAGAAAATGGGGTCACTCGCTTAAGTGACCACAAAAGAAAAAAAAAAAAGAAAAGGATAAACTTGTTTAAAACACCACTGACTAGTTTTTATACCTGTTCGTTTGACGCTAAGTAAATAACCCTCCGCTTCAGTTCTTCTCCAAGTTTGTCATTTGTTTTGATAAACTAGCGAGAGTCCTTAGCTACTCCTGGCCTAGTGAATGCCTCAAAAGAACTTAGAACAAATTTGACAAAAACTTTTTATGAGAAAGATGCGTACCCCGAGATTAAGATAACTGAGTATGCAATGACTCGATGGATCTACTCAATCGTATCGGGCTAACCGAAGCCCAAAAAGGTCACAAAAGTGAATCCATCCGTTCAGCATGCAACGTGCTAATACTCATGATACCAGAATCTGAATGCAACATCTTTTGTCTCATTGCACACATAATAATTTCGAATCTCTGCTTGAGTTTTAGTGGGGTATTTCATTACCAATCAAAATGATTGCATACATTTGGGTGAGGCCGTGCATCGATTGTGTATACAAACGTGGAATTGATATTTGCTCTCAGAGCGGCAGCTTAATTAGAACCCCATAACTTTTTCACACACACCCTAATATTGACTTTATTAGCAGACAGCATTTAATGCGCACTGTTATAGCTGATCTTATGCTTATTCTATTTAAAACTTTTTTATTCTATGTCGAGAAGAATACAGTCTCAGCTTGCGGTGTAAAATTTGTCCTACATTCATAGTATAATTATTCTCTCATGATCTGAGATGTCTGATTGTTTTAGCTATATTTTTTAGCTAGCTAGTTTTAGCCAATAGGAACCTCACGATTTGTTTAACAACAAAGGGCTGGCAATAACCTGTATCCCTGGACCCACGGGATCTTCTTTTCTAAACTCTCGTTAAATCTTCTAAAATCCTATTCCTTGAAGAGACAGCCTTTGTTTTACGCTGCACTCTCACGTTTGGTGAACATATCTCACATCGCGAAGTAAGCCCAAATTAATTTTAGTTACATACTAAAATTATGTATAAGACATTAATTTAAAGATACGTGACCATATTATAATCCATATTGTGACAATTCGAAAGAATCAATTATTTTGCGCCAGTGGAATACAACTTCACGCTGAAAACTTCAGTGTGGGAAAGCTGATTATGATATGGTCCTTACCACTTTGTTCCGCTGAACCCCCGAATCGTTTTATGGCTGTTCCACTCACAGGGCATGGTCCATGGAAAAGTGCAGCTACTGAAACTGTCCTTCCTCAAGAGTCCTCACCAAATCGGCTTAAATCGAATTCAGCCAATTCAGCTAGAAATAGCAATCTGAAACAGCCGACCTAAGAAAAGGACTATACGCCACTTTCAAATTGTTTTACCTTCAATCTGAGATGTCGCCAAGTGAGCTTCACAAAAAATAGTTCTTTCAGATAGACCCTTGCACTTGAGTGAAACCTCTGCACATGCAGACGGGTTTTCGTAAAGAACTACTAAAATTATATTTTTTAGTCTTTCAACAAAATAACACCAGGATACAAGTGTTACAGGTATCACAGAAGCATTGAATCAATCTTACCTTATTCATTTTAAAGCAGTTTTTTATGGTTTGCAAATGCGCTTACGTTTTGCTAATTCTGGTGTCCTGTTGTATCTTAGTAACAATTTTATTACTAAATAAAATTAGCAAGCCATTTAAATCAAGTAACGCAGAAACGAATTTGCACTTCCAATAAAAATGATGCTGGTGCTCAAGCGTCTGCTATCATATTTGGTCGATTGAACCGAAAGACACTAATTGTTGTTGCTGTTGCAGTAGTCCTTCGTTACTAAACGCGACTGCCTCTCGATAGTTTCGTCTAGGAGTAACGCCTACAAATTGAAAACTAACTGCATTTACAGGTTAACTTCCTTTCTCAGTACTTGATAAAGCCCGCAGTACTGCTTAGCCCTCCAGTAATAGAAGCTAGACTTTCGTAGGCGTACGCTCTACAAAGTTGGTAAATACTACCTATTTAAAATAGGCCTTTCGTCATCCTACGAGCGCATTTAGGCCTATGCAACACAGCCAGTGAATTCATGTTTACATCTATTTATACACATCTATACACATATATCACACACACACACACACACCATTAACAAGCATGTTTGAACAATAAGCTGCCACGGACATCTAAAAATGTTGCCAGAGCATATTCTATAACCCCTTCCTTTTCGCGTGCGAACTACATTTCCTGCACGTTTTTTTTTCATTGTGCACTTTTTTTCATTCTCGTCTTAACATCTTCGTGCATCTTCTTAACATTCACTAGTTATATGCTTGCATGTAATAGAAGAAAGCAGCCTGACAAAGCACGAATTCATATTAATCCAACAATCACATAACAAGGAGCTCCATTACAAAGGTACCATACGTTTGTTTTATCACGGAATATGTCATGGTTTTATGCTAAGTGCTATACAAATTTTACTATATTGATGAATGAATAGTCGAGTCACACATCAGGTCTTCGATAGGACTTTCGCTTAGACGCAGCTTTGGCGTGTCAGGGGCTTTTGGTGTTGAAAACTTCTTTTGGGATTTATTGTGACGTTCCTCCGATTCAGAGGCGTGAGTCACCACGCGCACGTCCTCGTTACTTAACTCCAGTTCGTCAGTTGCTCCAGGCTTTGGTGCCTGAAGGGAGCTCCCAACGACAGTGAGCGTACCTAATGCGCCATTCTCGACATCACCGTGCAGTTCCTCGTGCATTTTAGTCAGCATCGTACTTCGGAGACGACAGACACGCAATATTTAAATAAGTGTTTGTCTTTGCTTCCACTGGCGTTTATGAAGATATGCAAAGGTGGATTTTTACAGAGTCTCCTAAGTCCGCAAAAAAGTGTATCGTATAATTTACAATAATCATATTTTTACTGGATATATGGAACAGAAATTACCAAAAGAGAGTACCCACCATTCCAATTACAAACGCTACTCTAGTTTTTGTCATCTTTTCTTCGTATCTAATGAGACCAACCGTGTATTGTGACAATATTTGTCGTTAGTTGAAAAATCTTCGCCATGCATTCACTAACTTATTTATTTCAGTTCTTTCAGTGTCAGGTAAGTTTTTTGTAATAACTTGCCGATTTACTTGGGTCATCGAGAGTTCGCATGTTTAAATTGATTAGTCTGATACCTAAGTATTAATTTACCTGCTGTCTGCCTTGCGGGCAAGCCTTGGCCTAACGACACGGCAGTAGTGAAACAGATTGACTAGGGCCACGGAAACGAGAATCTTTAGGAAGAGAAGGGTAACCAGCAATATAATTACGCCTGCTCTCACTGTCCTTGGGAATAATTCGATTCCCTGAAAATAATAGATTTCCTCTAATATTATATTAAATGAATGCGGTAGTAGGCTAAAATGAAGGTTATTGTCGGAATTTTTTATTAGCATTTGTCTTCAAAGCTTCAAAATGATAGGCCTAATATTATTCAAATCGTTCATGACAAAAACATGCTATACAATGTAACGGACACACATGGGGGTGTGTTGTAATAAACGTGTTCCTGGCCGCCGGCCAGTGAAGGGTGCATATATATATATATAAAAGGAAGAAAGAGACTTTACCTACCTGTGCTAGTCTATAGGCTAAACTTTTATCGTGGTATCGCACCCCTGTAGGTAAGTGGATACACGTAGCCCTTGGGTGATCCCAACGTGCAGTCACTGGATCACAATAGAGTTGAGCACGTCCATGCAGAATAAAGGAGTCGTTGACACATCGCAAGTATGGCCGAGTTGTATCCAGCACAACAAAGGAATTAGCAACAAGTGGCGGGGCTCCGCACATTGAGCTTCGACACTGGGTCGCTGTGAATACATATAAATGGCTTAACGAAAGATTCAATTTTAGATCTGATGATTTTCCTGAGACTTTATGTATTACATTAGACTGTTCCATTGATAAATTACGATTATATTGAATAGATACGTCATTATATCTTCATAGAAGTACACGTGAAAGCTGCAGCCTAGCGATTATACATATGACATACGACAGCAAAGCATCGATCCGGATAGATGCGCGCAAAATGCTTTGAGAAAGTATATATGGAAAAACAAAAATGTCGAGCCCTATTTCTGTACCCGTTTCCTGTCGAAGTCCCGCGTGCTTCTTGCAGTGAACACTGCCGGGTCCGCTTACATAATAGCCCTGTTCGCACTCAAATTTGGAAAACACTTCGCCCTGAGCCATCTTTCCTGTTGAAGTGGATCATCGAAGTACAGAATTAATGTAACGTCAACTGTTGTATAATTAGTATGAGTTTATTAGTGTTAGTACGTTACGTTTTATTTGACACAACAGTTATTGTTTAGATATAAAGTTATTTACTATTCCTCAAGCTATGTTTGACGTCCATACAGCGTCAGTCTCGCAAAACGCATAGTATTAAATATACAGTATGTTTGTAAGCCCTAATATTTTTGTTTTTTAATTTTGTAGTGCTATCACAGAACCTTTCTATATTTTTATAGTGAAATCATTATATCCTACTTATTCAGTATTGATGCAGCAGCTACTAATCTAGATATTGTCACCCACCGACATCCTTCCAGGAGGTGAGCCTTTTAGGTAGAGCAGGCCTTCCACAAGATTGTGTTGAACGTACACAAATACCGAAAACAGCTTCACTACAAGGGGTATCCTCGGAGGATTGAGTCGTTTGGCGCATGCCACGAGACGGAATAAATACACCGCATATTCGATTTGTTTTACTACTCAGAACGAGTTTTTCACCCCAAAGGGAACGACTCTGAAATGGGTTTGTTGAAGGTGCCCAGTTAGCAGTGGCATAAAAATGACTACTATTGGAAACGCAAATTGAAATATTATGATTCTTAATTTACATTTATATGCCACCTTGTTAAGCTGGCCAGGCGCTACCCATAGTCGGAGATATAAGTGTTCAGATGACAAAAGTTGTTCGTGCCTGTTAGAGAAAGCTACTAAAATAGATACGAATTTTTCATTATCACCCACTATTTACACCTTTCTCAGGTGTATATGCAGACTGCTAATTATTTCGCAGGAAAATAGAAATTGTAAATAGGTATAACTGCCGAAATTCATGTATTTCTGCGTTCGTTAAGCGTCATGGGCAAAACAATCGATGAGATGTTAGATAAGTTCTATGTAGCTTCTAGAGCTATGGTTGGTTTAAAAAAATACAGGATTCGAATAATTACTTACGAATTCATCCAAGTCAAGAGGCGTGCTCGATAAGAAAACGGGCGTCGCATTCTGATCCTTTTTGTTAAGTAAATTTATGTTGTTTTTCTCAGTAGCGTATGCGCGCGAAAGGTTCAACTTTGCTGACCTCAGCGTCGCATTCGGCACTGCTGATGCGGGTGTCATAGTTGTGCTTGCTTCTGATGTCTTCCTTGGAGCCGCCCAAACTCGGTCCAGATTGTGCACGTCCATCATCCACGATACGAATTTTTCTTCATCTTTGGGGTCTACTCGTTGATCGTCAAGTATCGCGTCCTGGCCATCCTAGATTAGAAGATTCCAATTGTAGTCAGCACTTATAGAGATAACAGGTCGAATATGCGGCCGATACTGTTTCTTTCTCGTCTCAAAGTAAACGTATTGGTCACCGGCGTCGAATCCTGGGTTGTTTGTAAAAAAAAAGTTATCACACAGTAAGATACGAAGTTTGCGATAGATGTGAGTCCTGCGTGCCTACCTCCGTCTCGTCGTCGATGATAGAATTTCTTTGTGATACCGGCCAAAAATTGCCGCCTCTTTTCAAGCAATATTCCGCAGCCTCCCCGTAAGACATCTTATGAGGCGTTGCCTCATAGCACATGCTCTGAAATACACACAGCCGAAGACGAGACTTAAAGATAATGTGAAACAGAAGCCCAGTACGAGAATCAGTATAGGTGAGATTAGTGAAATCTAATCGAGTCATTGGGATAAGTGTAGACTGAAATTAACCAGGTTATAGTTAGGATTGACCGAAAAATCATATGACCTATGCATTTTTTCTTCCTACTTATTGAACATCCTAACGGTGCTGTTGTTTTAGCCTAAGCAGAAATCGCTCTCAAAAAATCCGTTGGATACATTAATGCAGATTCAGCAGTTCTTATTATAACCTATGAACATCGGTCACACGTTAAAAAGGCTTAATTTTAAGGTGGACGTTTGTTTAGATCGGTTCCCAAGGACGTTTGATCTTACTTTAGGACAAACTGAATGCTCATGGCTATCCTTATAAGTCACGGTCATTTTGAGTGGCAAATCCAGATGATGCTGCATTTTATCAAAAAATCAACTTGATTTTTAGGGCGGCTTAATGACTCCTTGGACAAATATAGCATCGTTTTATGAAGCCACTTTAAAACTAAGTCTTAATATGTTTGTTTTTTTTTGTTTAATCACAGTTGTGTTGTAGTATATGTTCTAACGAACGACATTAAAGGTTAAACGGATGACACGATTACCTCAAAACTTTCAATTTTATCGCCGGATTCACCGCAAACGTCCTCAGGTGATAATAGGTCCTGTGAGAAGACGCTTATTTCGCACAATTGAAGGAAAAATCCATGAAAGGCTTCCACGGAGACCTGTACGTAGCGACCCCTAACTGTACCAGACCAACCTAGTTTGTCTTGTATAATAAGGGATAGCACGTGTGGGAAAAGAGAATGAGACAATTATAGTTTTGATCTAAGTTCAGCTGTCAACATGTGCGTATGATACTTATCAAATAGTCAACACTAGATAATAATATTGACAATAGATAATAATATTGAGAAATATCTAAAGCGGGTAGTAACTCAACAATAACGATTACATAGTAGCTATAAATATATATAAAATATATACAATTTCACAAATACTAAGCACCTTGAGAGAAGTGAACATATTATATTATCATAGTACGTTATATAGTACGTCATGTGTGATGTGATATGACGTACGCATTATAGTACGTCATATCACATCTTAGGAAAAAAATACTTTGAATCTTTTCCCTGTTTGCAACTGCCTGCAGCAATTTGTAGGACACTTAGTAAGTATATTTACACAGACCCTATTTGTAACCCAAAATCTTCCCTTGATCATACCTTCTTCGTTGGCGATGCGATTGCTAGTATAAATATCATTTGCTCTTCTGACGGTAGGGCCTTCTTTAGTGGTCGAATTTCCATTGCTTCCACAGGAAAAATATCGCGCCCCAATATCATCCAGATCGATCCCTGTCCAACGCGTACACGGCCAGCTGCTATTGATTCGGTGATCGACGACTGATATAGACACGGTTGCGTTTTTCAACTTCATACCGAAACGTACTTCCACCACCTGGGAAGGTTTGGAAGGTAAATAGAAATTGTGCTCCTGAAAGACGATAGCTCGATATATCCTTCCATCGAGCTATAACAGTAACTGTGTAACTTACGCAAAAACAAGTCGTGTCATACTAACGTTAACAACGACGTATTCCTCAAGCAGATCGACCCACCATCGGTGTAAACTTCCGAACGCAGTCTCTGCGCACGTACTATGCTCACCGTCAACGGCCAATTTGGCTGTTTCATCGCGGGAGCTCATTCCAGTAGGCTTGCGAAAAGCCACCTGCAAAGTCCGCAGGATTAATCGAATTTATCAATACGGAGACTCCGACCGAAACATGAGTTACGTAGCTTTGGATTAACATGTGTGTGCGTTGGGGAATTAGAATTTTCTCAGGACACAATTCGAAATTTTTGTGATGGGAGCAAACAGCATACTCAAACCGTGCAAGCGATATACGTCGGGTAAAAGGTAAAAGTTAGTTTTAACGTATACAGACAATAGAGAATGCCACGTGGCTTTTACGAATAAAGCACACTGGCTACTCTAAAGCATCTGTTTTAGATTTCTCTAGTAATATCAATACTAATAATAATAATACCGACGATACGGTAGAGCTTTGCAAAATAAACGGAAGAAGAATAAACTGACTTCTCTTACGCAGTATGGAAGACCTGGTGAGTCCCATTCTGAGTTACTGCAGCGCAAAGAGGACCGACCCAGCATACGATATCCGGGATCACACTCGAACCTGTTTACATAAATCAGTAATAATTGCCCCAAAACGTGACGGCAAAAACCGTTATTCAGCATCAATTTCAAGATAAATTACCCTTTTTTAGTTTTATTCAAGAGGCAGTGTTTATATTTTTGATGTTGTGTATCTTATGGTTGATGCTATTGGCTTTGGTACGAAAGTATACAGATCCTTTCTTTTTCGTTGAAAAACATAAATGTCCTCAATTCTATCGCAAATAAGGCGGATTTTGTTAGTCTGGATTGTACGGCGTTCCAGTCTTAGGCATGTTAGGTTATACGTTGAAAAGCATTCCAGCATTCCTAGTTATCTAAGCTTAACTATGTTTGGTGAAATTTATTAATAAGCTCCTTCAACCAAGGTTTAAATTCAAGGAATATACCAGAAAGGTCATGCATAGTATCGTTTTGTCCAATATCAAAAAACGTCGTTCAGGAGCGTGAGAACGTATCTTTGGGCTTCGCAAAATTCATGAACAGTCGTATGCCCCACTTCGACGACAAACGTCTGTTTGTCGGATACATACGATCATCTAAAGATATGATGCGTTATAATCTCTGATTTTTACTTTGTAGTTGCAACATGCTGACGAACTATGACAGCGATATCTATGATACAGGAATTTGTAAAATGTGTATGTTTAAAAACTAGCTAAATAGAAGATCGCCCACTTACGTCACCGACGCACCCTCTCGAAAATGTTCATCGGACGTGTACACCTTAGCGTGTGCTGGACTCCCGGGGAATCCACATGATTCGGCTACATGTAATGCCGCGGCAATAGCTACCAAAAACGGAAGCATTTTGTGCAAAATCCGTGAACGAATTTATCCTGTTCAGATTTTCCGCCTTGCACTGGAAAACCGTTACAGCCACATATTGAACAATACAAAAAAAACCTTCAATAATCTTTAGAGCTATTCACGACCGCAGTAAGTATATCGAATTTGATGATATCCTTCAAATACTTTAGTTCACGGAGAGCGGCACGAGGCTTCCATCTAGCAAACTCGGTGGAGGCTAGACGGTCAGTGTTGTCGCCATTTGGCCGTTACATGCCAGGTTGTTGGTGACAGGACGATGTCTGTATCAATGGTACGGATGCACCATTGATATAGACATCGTGTAGAAAACATATCGGGTCCGAAAATGTGAACAGATGAGCGAACAAATACTTGGTTCGACGTGATAGTATGTGTACAGCACGCACTTTGGTGCTGTACGTCAATATAATGTAATATAATCATCAAAGCACGAACTGCACGAGACGTTCACATGCAATGGTATAAACTATTTGCACCTAGTTATAGCTACAGTAGAACTGATACGTACGGAAAACAAATGGCAGCATAAAATAAGCTTTTCTGTCATTGCAACAATAAATGCAAAATCCTATATGGTAGACTACAGTAACTTATTCGTTGAATCATTGTAAACATTGGATGCTGTTCTGTTCAGAAATTATCCACAAATTCGATGTGGCTAATACTAACTATCAACTGGTAGCGATTATAGTTTAGAGGAGAAATCTCTCTATACAATAAGTTCATTTGGTAAAATATATTTGTTTTTACAAATAGTATCGGTCTAAAAAGTTCTGTCAAACAGATTATATGTCTGTCATACGCATAAATAACTCCGGAATTTGTAAGAGTAGCCTCTATTTTCCAGCATAAAGCATCCATTGCTAAATGCGCCGCTTATATAAGCCCTATAAGTTAGTGTTTCCATGTGTTATTGCACCTCTCGTACGTTTAACCTTCCTAGATTCTTAGATTTTCAGAGCTTTGAACTTACCAGCTGCTCTGATATCAAGTCTGGTGAACTCTTCGTATCATTGGCATTTGGATAAATGTATGAGTGCTAAATCTAAAATCCTGCCGACAGGCGCAAAAATGTAATCTGAATGTCTGACGTAAGGAGGAATAGTTTGTGAGGACTGGATTTTCCTAAAACGGTTGGAACATCCAAATCCGAAGGATTTTCAGCTCCACGCAATAATCACAGAAATAGATTTTCACAAACAAGATATTGAACTACCTCGAGTCTAAATCATGAAATATTACTATGGGGGTCATCTAGGAACAGGCCCTAACATAACAGATGACACTTTAGTTACCTGTCAAAAAGGCAAGTTTACATTACGAATTGTCAGCCCTGATGTAAAGTACTATTTGTCATGTTTCTTTTAATCGCTTGTTAGCTATTTGACCTGTAGGTCTAAATTATCCTAGTTTTACGTCCGGTATTACCGTTAGGCATTCTGTCAGACGGACGGCTGACTCTCGCCACGAAACGAAGTCTGCCCACGCTTGGATTCGAACCCACATCACCGTCCGTCTCTACGTATAACAGAACTACCAAGGCCGATCTGTGGATATTGAAGAACTTGTCTGGATTTTTTTTCTAACAGTGATTATAAAATATAATAACGCTAATAATATACCGTGGCCATAGTTAACCATTTGCCAATGCTCAATGATAGTTCATACTTACTATAGCAACGCACTCAGAAGTGTCTATTAGCCATCTTAATTACATCGTCCGCAGATGCATCAGAATAATTAAACAATCAAAACAAGGCATCAATGTTATCGAAATAATGTAATCAAATTTATTGACATCAGGTAATGGAATTGCGTAGTGAAACAACGAAGTTACGAATACAAGATGACAGGAAGGCTGCAACAAGAAGGGTACAATGGGACTAGAAAAGCAACTGCAACAAAATACTGAGATCGATTCATAAAGTGCAGTGAGTCATAAAACAATTGTAAGAAGTTCATGTTAGCAAGCCGGCTTTAGGTCGAAAAGATTTCAACTTACATAAGTTTTGTTGGGATAAGTAACGGGACAGTTGGATATCAACTAGTGGATATGTAGGGTACGAATAATGCGTGAGAAAATAATAACGAAGTACATACATTTTGGGTGCGTGTCAGCAAACGTTGCTTATTTTAAATCTGAAGCCTCGTTCAAAATTACTTGAACTCCACTGGAACGTAAAGGTTCTTAGATATAGTTTTTCAGAAAATACCTTAAAATGGGTCTTTTTTATACGACCCGTTTATATTAAAACTAGCCCTTATACAACTTCGGAAGTATAGTTGAAGGAATAGTCAAACTTTATCTATTGCTTTTGAATTTCACAGTAAATCTATTAAAGTTTAAATGTGCTCTTAATTATTCGGAACGGTGCTCAAGACAAAATCCTTATTTTTCATACACATCTTTGCCTTTGGCTTATGTCAGTAGATTTTAAATATTAACTTGAGCTTCACGTAGAATTTCCGTACGATATCAGCGTGCTCGCTGAACCTGGTTCTACGTACTTGACTCTCACTAAGAATATCAAGCGTAGAAGACACAATTTCCGAAGACACCAAATAAATAACGGAACTGGCTATTCAATGGATTGTGGAATGGAATGGGGCTCGATCTCTTTTGTTAAGTTAAGCGAATCCTGTAAATAAATTGCTATAGATCCGTAAGGGCTGACTATATTTTCTGTACGAATTAGGGAAACCGATTCTATATACTAACGGCTAAAAGTCGCTATACGTTTATTTATTTATCGAGCTTCAATAGACCCCTAGAGTAGGCAGGTTGGGCTAATTTTTTCGGGTCTCTAGAGTTTCATCTTGGAAAGATCAATGCGAAAGATGGAGCCGATAGGTCAAATACTTTTTCCAGTGGACGTTAGTTTTCTCCTATAAAACATCATGTTGATTTGGTTATTCGTAAATCGACAGCAGCAACTTCTGACCCATTTTGAAAGAAGCGCCGCGTCAGCGTTGAAAAACATCAGTGCGACCCCCAGCATGATCTACTTCAATATATCGTCTGTTCTATATATATAAATATATATATAATGCCGTTATTCAGTATATATAGTCGTCGTTCAATATGTATAGTGAAAATTGTGTTGTGTGAACACGTAAACTACACAAGCGTTGCATGAAGCGCTATGTTTGTGCGAATTCCCATTAGGTTATATCTATTAGGGAAGAACTAACCGTTACTTGATGTTGTCCCAATTATGAATATCATTAGCCTTGTACTTCTAAACAAGTCAAACAAAAAGTGTTTTATAACGAAACGAGCCCAAGGCAAGGCTCGCAGGTGGCGTTGTAATAGGTTACGAAAAAGTAAGCGGCGTTAGAACAATGGTCTTAACTAGCTTTATTTTTAGCTACGAACGCGGTAGCAAACCCATTTGGTTATAGTGACCTTCCTGTCGAATTTCATTAAATTTTGTAGAATTTTATTTTATGATTGAAAAAAACATTCTCTGGCATTTGCTTTAATAGAGATGATTTTTACGTTAGTCTTATCGTGTTCACTGAGGTGTACTTATTTATTTAATATTTTCATAGCCTTTAAATTTTCGTTATCAATGCTACAGGAGTATTTAGGCACATCAAACATTTTATATATATCCGGATTTTCCCAAGTATATATTACGTCGCTGAATTAATTTTAATGTGTCCATCTTTTTTATTATAGTCAAAAAATATAATTTCATTTGTATTCGATTTGCAGTTTACTTCCATACAAATTCGATGCCTCATATTGTATTTAATTATTTAATTTGTTTTTATACATGTATTTACTATAAAATATTATATCGGTTTATATGATAACATTATTTTTATGTTTACATTTCGTTTGGTACCCATAAATTACATTGATTTGTATAGGTGATAACAATTTAATTTTTCTTTCGTTCTTTCTTCGTTAGAATCGTTTTGGTGGATTCGGCTCAACATTTAAATCTAGCTATATAGCCTAACCACTCATTTCACTAATAATGCGGAAATCTTTGAATTAAACTTTCCATAGCTTCTTCAGTTTAGTATTTCCTTGTCTATTTTCAAATTGCGTCTTTCTGAATTTCTGATTTGGTAGCTAATTAGGTGGCGATTGAAAAATAGGTCTGCTACCTGTTAAACATTTAGCTTTGTTTCGCATCTCAGTTTTAGACACGGTTTTGAGCCACACTATTCGACCCTGTAGAACATAACACATTCATCGCGACAAAAAAGACGTGCTTGCCATAGAAACAAATGGACTTCGTTGACAGATCTAATAGCCATCGGGGTGGAGCGTATCTGCATCTATCCCAGGTCTTCGCCCGCCCGCCTATCCGCTAAAGGCCTCCCAGTGGTTGATATCGCCGAGTGATGCCTCCGCACGGCACCGCACCATGTCCTTCTCTTCTGTTTGGATTTCCATTATGTTTTGTATGATGCGGACGACGGTCTATATTCATCCATAATGGCAGCACCTGGTCGAAAAATGGCAATAGGAGTGGATAGATGCCCAGCAGCACCAAAAAATATTTGCTCGTGATTGTAGGTATATGAGGGGTGAATAAACTGAAAAACGCTCATCAGATTGTGTCATTCGTCGAGCAAGTAGGCCATCGTCACCAAATTCGGAATTTAGCACCACTAAATGCGACGGAGTGTGTGTGCATGTGAGCTAGCGGGTTTGATCGTGTGCATTTTTTTAGTGCTCTTTTGCTTACCGGAGAAAAACTGCCGCGAGTGACAGGTGAGTTCACGGCTTCGGCATCAGTCACGTCAGCAACCCTTACCAGAAGGAGTGGGACGCCAATAAAATTAATTATATTTCAAGGAATTGAAGGATATTGGCGAGGCGGCGATATTACCGGAAAATGTGACGATCGCGCCACCTCAACATCAATGCAACGTTAGGAACACTGTAGTTACAGATACGACGTTAAATCATTACTTGCAGTGCTGTCCAAACAGGAAAGAGGAGTGCGCGACTCTGGAGAGCAACTGTCAGCTCCAAAAGAGTCGATCAGCTATACTCGCCATAGTGAAGCGTTCGCAAACGAATTTGTTCTCGATTTACCTCGCAGCAGATTAGATAAATATACAAAAAGAAAAGCAATCGATACAAGCAGCAGTAACTCATTACCTGACAGCCCAAGCAGTGGGCAAATAAGTTAGTCAGCAAACCGTTCAGTAAGCGATTATGAAATAAGAAGTAAATACCTAGCGATGCAATGGATTTTCGCTAAAACAGGATCATATGCAGGGTCAAGAAAAGAAAACAAGGGTCCACTGTCTAGTGTATTATACAATAGGTGGGGTAGCAAACAGTGATTCGGCAGACGGAACATCCATCTCGATTTAAGTGCAAACTGCTTGTTAACAGACCATTTTCCGGCAACTTTACCGGCAAGATTCGCTCTGATCGAACAATCAGATCACAGCGACTCGACGGGTTTCAACTGGTGTACCCACCCGGTTCGGAAAATTGTCTAGTTAGTCATTCTGCGACACTCTACGTTCGAAATGAAGAAGGTATTTACAAAAGTCAACAGCGCGTGTCGTTTCTATGCTACATCTAAAGCTTTTGTTTGCAGTTTGGCACTCACTTGGTGCATTAATTAGAAAAGACTTTGTGAGTTATTCGCAATATAACCCATTAGGTCACTTAGAAGATGGTAATACATGTAGATGAAAAGCTTCGGCAACCCACTTAACGTTTAGATTCGTTTACGCAAGCTTTAAAAAAATGCCTCGCACAGAGATGCTATTACTAACAACATATTCTAACAATAACGACGATAGTAACGAAAATTGATTATTACATCATTTTTTTTACGGAAGTTCTTAATCGACGATAAAGTAACAACATCAAATTAGCTATGTTATATCTTAAGTGGAATGTCTTCACTCGACGCGCCCGATAGATCTTATCCGTCTTGTATTGGATACGAACAAAAATTGTTTGCTTATGCATGTCAGCTGTGTATGTTTGTAACAGAGAGTTTCTTTTATTTAATGTGAGAATCCGTGCTTCTGGAAAATCTAAAATGATTTGCGCATAGTATATGCGTTGCCATATTTCATAAATTTTGCCCGCAGCGACTGAATATAAACTGTAAATTTCGCTGAATTTTGATATTAGTAGAGAATCGAACCTAAGACCTGCAGCCCCCAGCAGAGCTATAATTGCGAAGTTTTTGCTACAAAAACTGTCAGCAAACAAATGCCACTTTGTAAAAATATTGCATATGAAATCTAGAAGACAACTGCGCCTAACAGATGACGTCAGGTTAGTCATCTAATCTCTTCTAGTTATTTCGTCGGAGAATTACTCTGCTTAGTTATTGCGAGCGCTACCGGAATCTCTATTAGAAAAAAGCTTTTTTAAGCATACTCTAATCTTCCCCGACCACGAGAGCATCTTTAAATTCTATTGTCGGCTTAGAACTCCCACACGCCAACTGCCTTTTTATAAACCAGTTGGTCAAGCCTTTTCAAAATGCGCTAATTCTACAATTTTTTCTAAAACCCGTCTACTTTATTATATTCTTTAGTATAAAAGAAAACAGTGCAGCAAATTGATCTTGAGACAAAAACGAACGTTTAATCAAATTTTAGCTGACTTAATGCTTGCAACTATTTTTTTTGCCCATTGTTCCTACTTCTTCAAAATGATAACGCTGTTGTTGGCACCCGCCGCTGTAGCATTTTCCCGCATCGGTTGACCGTATACGCACTGTTTCCACGGAACCAGTACTGTATTACATCTTACTGACTCAACCGCTATTTACACACAATTTAGTCGTTACTCGGTAATGGCAAGTCGTAGCGTTAAATCAGGGGGCCAAATCGCCTGGGACAGGGCGACACGCCGATAGAGAGCCGTTTCTTGTCTCTGCTTTTCCTTCTACTAAAAAGATTCCCTTCACTTCCAGGCTATAGTCGCTGTTGGTAAGTAAACAAACGGAAGGGTGACAGAGTGTTGGCACATGTGAACCTTTACTGGTGAAAAATGTTCGCCGGTAACATACCCTACTACAACACTGCCAGGGTTTCACCTGGTAGTAAAACCATGCACGTGCATGAATTGTTCAAACCAGCGATCACATCGCCGTTCGTCTTGACCGGTACCGTTGCAGTGGGACTTAGGTGCCGGGCTTCGTTCTATTGCCATGCTACTGCCTATAATAGTGTATGAAAACAGTATGGACCTGAGCAGGCCCGAAGTGTCACTGAATCTTGGTTGGCGTTTGGTGATCATCACCTCCGTCACCAGTCTGAGCCTGAAACGTTCAAGCTTACTTAGAACCACCGTTCCTGTCGACTGTAAGATATCGCAGTGCGTAGTTATCGACGTCGACATAGTTCTATCGATTTTCTTTTGTGCGGCGCTTCTTTTAGTTTCTATGGGACGACGCTGAAACAAGACAGGCATCCAATAGCAGAACGACCTTGCAACTGATTTTTGTCGATAGACAGACAGTATCAACTTTTTTACATATAGCACCAGCATTACTTGCCACCTTTGATCAGCTGACTAAGCAGGCACTAAGGCTCTTGACGACGACGACAACGGCAATAACAACGAACAACACTGACAATGAACTCGCGACGAGGCTTCCAGCCAATTCTTTGCCCATCTGGATCATAACTGTCGCCCGCTGGTTAGCGTTCTACGACACCTGGCGAAGCGAAATTTCGAAGCGATAGCTAGAGCAACAGCGGCATGACAGTCACCGCGCAAAGCTCTGTTTGTCATTAGAAATTACCACAACAGAGCTAGTACAGATGTGCGCGAGAAAACGCGACAGTAATAAAGGAAAAGTGGGGGAAGGTAGGCAGTGATAACTAGCGAGACGCTGTGGGCGGATGGATACGGCCTTTTCTGAAGATTTATAGAACAACATTCAGTCGCGTGGAAGCATGCGGGTCCTTTGGTCAGCCGTGACCAGGATGGCTAACCCATAGTTAAAATCTCATTACCGGATACGTTAACGTTAGAAAAAAATTTTTTGTATATATAAGAGCTACTGTGGGTTAGAATAACGATAGTAGCGATATTAGCCGTATCAGTGAGCCAGTTGGTCAGCGTTATTGTTCTCAGTGTGTTCCGGGCGCACATTTGGTTCCTCCCTGTGCCTTGGTCACTGACGTGGCTCGTACTCATGTATGCGGGCGAGTCGCTTGCAAAGATCGGTGTCAAGCAGAATGAAATTTCGAAAAAAAGGCGCGAATAAGCAACTGTTAAAAATTGCGCTGTATATCGCATACTGTGCAAACGAAGCGCGTTGTGTGTTGTTTTGACCGCTAACTGCATCACTGCTATGGGCGAGACCCGCAATATTGGCGTAGACAAGCCGTCAGTCGGCGAAAAATGAACGAGCAAGGCTACATCACGTCTTTCCTTTTTATGGTCAACAAACCATATGGTTGAGTATTGCGAGTAAACGTAGAAGCGGGGCTGCTTCTATGGATTACCCAGCGCGAAACAATTTCATAAAGAAACTGTTTTCGCTGTTACTGTCGCTACGGAAGTAGTGGTGGTAACAGCAAAAAAGCGCTAAAGAACGCTACTTTTGGTTATTGAATTAAATAGTTTCTTTTGGGTATCGTTTAAACTTTTTTCCCTGTAAAGTGGTACTACGTAAGTGCCGTAAGCAGCCGCCCGATGAGGGAATTTGATGAGTTCATATCTCAGAAATTCGTAGTGTGTGCTTATGATGGTCTAAAAAAGTCTTTTGGATTGATAGAAGTTGCGCGAGTTCTTTCGTCTTGATCGTGATAATTATAATTAGTAATATAATTTTTCTTATTGAGTGGACTACATATCATCGTAACGAAGATTTTCTGTGCTCGTCTCTTAAATCAAACATCAATTTTGCAAAGCATAGCGATCTCGTTCTACATTTACTGATGTATCGTTTACATATGTTGCAAATCTGTTTCGTTTTCTTATACCACAAATTAACCTCATTTAGACGTTGAGATGACACTATAGAATTAAAATAATATACTCGACAGTAGTTTGCCATGCTATTATTATTATATATGATTATTAGAAGAAATTAAGTCTTATTTCTGGTGCCTCAATTAGTCATATGATAATTAATATTGTGATAATTGTAACGTTACGCGGTATTGTTTTCTTTATTATTACAGTTATATTCAGCTCTGTGGAAACTTTATTGCGTTCCTACGGACTTTAATGCAGTTACCTCGTTTCCATCCGAGCAAACCATAACGAAATGATGAGGGTGATCAGAATCAAAAAAATTATTTAGCAGTAGACGTAACAGCTACTACATTGAACGACCGTCAAATTGCCTAAAGTAGCACGCACTTTACCAGAAAAAATCTATTCATCAAAAAAACATTATGTTGTGTTTTGTAACGCTGACACGCACAACGGATATTATTGGAAACTTAAAGTTTACTTCGATATAAAAACTGGGAATTTAATGAACTTGTTCGGGCGATATTGTCCGGAAAATCCATCTAGGTAAATAGTACCACGCGGTGTTTCATCGATTAAACCTAAATATCTCTGCTTTGGAAAAGTTTAGAATTTTTCTTGAAGTGTTTTCTAGATATTAATTTCATACGAACTAGTATTTAGTGTATTTATTTGTGTGTTTATTGTATTACTATTATTTACTAGTATTTAATGTATTATTATTGCAAAAGATTGTATTGAAATTTTCTAGGGAAATTGTTCAGAATTCCGCGCAACTTCCGCGGGTAAAATCTAATGTACCTGTGATGTTTGTGATAGTGATCACGTATTTCTCTATTTTCTGTTTCTCTGGTCAATTCACTCATATATTTGACTTTATTAAAAATTCTGCTGAGATACATTTTGCAATTATTAGAACTTGGAAATTATGTTCTATTGTTATATTGTAGATGCATATAGGTGGATTAACGCCATATGACTAATTAAAAAAAGTTATATCTGTACTGTGGGATTAAATTTACCACATCCACCAAGGCAGTCGATTTGGATGCTAGTGTCCTTTGGTTGACGGCTTATCTCTAATAATCAGTAGACGTGTCTGTTTTATGTGTGTCATAAGATTGTATAGCTGTACGTCTGTTCGGAATAATTACGCCGCCTAACACGACTCAGTAAGTCGTTAGCTTCCTAAAAATCAACAATAGCTCTAAAATACAAGCGATTTCATTGATATTATTAATTTGATAATAACCATAATAATGATTATGATCAGGGAACGCTTACGGACCGCTAGGGATGCAACCTGTAACAACAAATAGACAAGAAAACAAGCAGACATTCACTATAAATCTAATAATGTATAATGTGTAATTCTAATAATAATGGTTATTATTATTATTATTATTAATTAGATCGGCTGTTATTTACGCTTAATCCATTGCCGTATATTAGAGAAATTATCATCAATGTGTGATCGCAGTCTCTTCTTTGACGCTCTAATCTGTGCTATTTGCTGCTCATGCATTTTACAGTATATTGTGGCTACAACTGATAATACTTTGTATACATGTATACCAATCTTAATCCATTTCGACGATTTGCAAACGTTTTCCTTCGTGCTGGCTTTAATTGCAGAGTGCTACCTCTGGATCGTCAGCGTCGGCGGCAGCGCTTAGAGGGGCGCGAGCATCCGGCGGCGTCGGAGCGATCTTGGGAAGGGGCGCAGGATCTAGTTTGTCTCCGACGCGCGGTGCCAGTGGCGTTACCGGCAGCGAACGAACACGAGCTTCGACAAACGTCGGTCCAACAGCAACAGCAAGAACGATGACAATGGATGGAGGAAGTACGACGCCTACGCAGCGTCGGAGGACGTCCGCAGTGAGCCCCATGATGAATGGAGGCTATGCTGGTGGAAACAATACTACTCTAGGTACTGGCTCCGTAGGTGGCGGAAGGGGTGGTGGAGGGACCGGCCTACCAGCCTTTGCTCCGGAACAACATCAGATCGATCAGAATGTCCGAGAGGTGAGAATGATATGAGAGTTAAGATTCTCAGTGATACAGAGTGGCTAAAAAAACTTAACCTGGTTGGTCTTAGTCATTTGAGATGATTGTTCTTTGATTGACACTCGTATTAATAAGGTCACTGATGTCCAGCAACCACATGCCTGTTACAGCGAGAATTTGTAAAGTGATCGGACTGGGTTGCGTTACGCTCTGAGCATTGCTATACAAAAGATATGAATATCTGCCCTTCGGCGGAGCATTAGTTCTTTTAAGAATCTCTATAACAAGGTTTTTTGTTCTTTGACGTATTCGCTTCCGTTTGTATTACCGAGCACAAAGTGTAACCAAAGATTGGTAAATCGTTGCAGTCACTAAAAAATCACGCAACTATTGGTCGTTACGCGTACCTGTTCCATTTCTGTACGATTCTGTTCTATCGTCAAAGGGCAGTCACCTTAAATTGCTGTTATTTTACCATTTAATGTGGCGGTTGGGACTGCCCTTAAGCAGCGCTTCAAACGGCTTATTCTTGTTACGCAACGAAGCCATCATGCGCTCCTAAGTTTAACAGGCAAACACGTTACCCACTGCACTATCACAAAAATTATTATCTAAACTAAACAAGACTGTTCCATAGCAGAAAGAAACAATAACAGATGCGTACAACTGGCGTTGTACTCACTATAAGAAGCCACTCGTAATCTTTATATAGAATCGTTTTTTCCTTTGCTTCTTTCGTTGCCGGACTCAAAATAGCACTAGTTCATCTCATAGGTTTTGTACTCTTTAGTCTTACTTAGTGTTGTTCTTTTTAACACATTGCAAAACAACCTTTGTTTTTTACGGCCAACTCGATCTTGATTATCGAAAAACCACACCGCCACGCTTCCATTCAGAGATCATCGGTGATATCTCATTAGCCCTCAGCCGAACGAACTAACTCAGGAGGCCAACATTGTTGGGCAAACTTGTATAAATTGTGTCACTAGATAGTTCATTTACAGTCGGTTACTGTGGGCTCTGTATAAACAGAGTCTTCGGCGACACACCTCTCTCGATGTCTCTAGTATCGTTGACTGCGCTCACTCACTACGATCTGTATGACAAATTCTAACGGTAGTCGTATAGTGTAGCTTCGACCCGTGTAGAGAGTGTCATTTGACCTGTCGTAAAGCTCCCGACTCACATGCACGGGTTCACAGAGGTATAAAAGCTCTATTGAAAGGCCGCTGACATGAGCCAGTATAGAGTTCAGTTCAGTTGAGCTTACAACGCATTTCTTGTAATTCCATAACAGTTTGTAAACAAAAAGGAAGCAGAAGAGGCGCTGCTTCACGGAGCAGGAAACACGCGTGCTCAGGGCAGCGTCAGGTAGTGTAATGTCGCTGTGGATGCATCAAGCCTCTGGGTTCTGGGTTGTAACTGAAATAGAAATTTAGGTGTCGGAGCGCCGTGGTTTGAGGGCGCATACGTGTTTTGGCTGGAGTTTTGTCTATGGTTGATAAAATGTGAGATTAAATAAAGCATTTTGTATTTTGTTGGATAGGAGTTTGACAGAGCGGCGGTACTTGTTCGAACAGGTGTATATTGAATTCTAATGGATATTAAATAGTGTGACAGTAACAATCTAACTTAATGTCACCCCACTAAACTCTGTTAAATATAAATAACTGGCATGTGTGAGTTCATCGATTAGGTAAACTATATATGGCTGTGATAGGTGTGAATCCGTGTAATCGTGTGCTTGGGTAACTACTTATGGTGTTCGCTGTGGTTAATTGAAACAAGTTTAGATTCAATAGTTTAACTATGAATGTGTTTCAGCTTGTTTAAATAATGAATGATACTCTATTTATTTAAAGTTTTTGTTTGTACACATTTAAGCGTTTCAAATTGGCGCCTTGATTTTTGCTATAGCTGTATAACTCTTAGGATATAGTATGAATGGTCGTTACCGTGTGGTTCTACGACTATGGCTAACAACTCTCATATTGGCCCTTTGTATTACAATAATGCAGCCATATCGTGGAATTAAAATTGAGGCATATGCAATATGCACCACACGAATACCTATGGATATATCAAATAAATGTTTCCAGTTTTGTACATCCGACACCACCGTTAATCAATGCTACCGTATTCTCGTTCAATTATCTTAAATGTCGCGGAATTGTTAATTTTTTATCCGTATGATAAAGCTTTTGAAACCTAGCTTTGCAATAAATGTTCGCGTTATGTCATTGCGCCGCTACATGATACTAGTCGCGATAATCACATAAGGTTAGGATAAACTCATAAAAAAATGTTTTTTTAGCAGGACTTTTACAAGCTCAATAACGGTACACACTTGTAAATGTAATTATCTTCTTATATACTTTTGATATAAGGCGGAAGCTCGTTTAGCTGCCCGCCGTCGAGCCCGTGCGGAGGCCCGAGCCGCTCGAATGAAGCTTCTAGATGCTGCCGATGATGAGGGTGGTGGAAGTGGTCGACCTCGAAACCGGGATGTCCGAGCGGCTTCAATTGCGTCAGCTTCATCGAGACGGAGCAGTGACGCCGAGTCCGAGTTCGGAGAATATAGGTGAGTAAATAATTACAACATACATATAGACGAGAATATTTGGACTGTATTAACGATTTTGATCAAATTATCCTATTGTGACTATTGTATGGTGACACAGAAGTCACCATAATCCACTACTGGTTCGCTCAGTAATGGCATACGCATAATTGCGCTATCGTTAAATTTATTTGAAAGAGTGGTAGGAAAACGTCGTAATACTTGGATGATGCATAGCAAAGGTGCTATATTACATCGCTAAATGTCCGCAGTAACGCATTTTCACAAATTCCACGCATGTAGACTCGATCTATAGTAGGCCTAAATTATGTGATTATTTTGTGACTGTGGTATTTATGACTTGTGCCTTCTGGTGCACATACCATACAATTTTTAGCCTGATTGTAAACAAATGGTATTCTGGAAGCGCAGTGTAAGCTGGTAAAAGCGGCGTTAGTTTTTTTTTTAATTTTACTACATATGCATAACTTCTCGTATTCTACCCTACATCAATTCTTAGCTAAAAACGTGGCAATATTGCATGAGCGACTACTTATGCTATAGATTGAAATACAAGCAGCAACAGTAACTATTGTTTAGTTTGTAAGTAGTTTGTTGATCTATACACTATATGCGGCTTCTTAGGGCACCTTCTGCATCGGTGCAAATCAACAACTGAATTTTTTTCGGTTCGAAAGAAAGCGTTTCATCCTGCACATAAACTTCTTACTACAAATTTACGAAAAGCTAAATTCTTTATTCTAAATAATTTACATCATCGTGAAGAATCCTTTTCTTCTAACTGAATTTGTGTTTCTTTACGTTGTCTTCGTTTAGTCGAGAAGATTTAGAAGATCAACTTCGAAAAGCGTTGGTAATGAGTCATCAATTGGACTCCGAGAAGCAGGCTCTCAACTATATGGTCGAAACGTTACGTGACGATATGGAGGAGCTAATGGAGAATATGGTGCAGTTAAGAAAAAAACTTGCTGATAAGATTCGGGCCTTCGACCAGCAAACGAGGGATTTCAACAATCTCCAACAGGACAAGAGTTACCTGGAACACCAGATATCCGAACGGGACCGCCTAATAGGGGTGAGTTATACAAGTACTCTTTTTTAATACTGTGCGAACATTTGATTAGATTTAGCGTACTTTAGGAATTTTCTATAGTTTATATAGAAAGCATGTCAATGGGAAGGATAATTAAAGAGATTGTTCGCCTTTCCGTCACAACGTACGTTACAGGAACACGGCCTGGTGTTAGTTGGCGAAGATGAAGGCCAACTACAGTTATTGAGTAAGGACATGTCTGAAGTTTTACGTTCGGCGGGTGAAGGAAATCTTGAGAAGAAACTTCAGTCACTTGCTGAAGAGAAGACATCATTGGAGGATGAAGTCACACGGTTAGTTGAGAAACTTAAATTTCTTTTTGGAAAATGCATTTTTAGTTAGTAGTTAACCTTTATGTATGCGGTAGCTTGAAGGTATGAATTGAACCCTATGGACTAAAAAGTCTTGGTGATAAGCTTGTATTGCAACTGATTTGAACTAGGCATTTATTACAATCATTGTGAAATGATGAATGACTATCTTGCATTATTCGAATACAACACAAATATGTAATGTAATAATTATGGTTAATAATATAATAGTCATTATATTCTAGCTCAGTCAAATTATAATTCGTTTAAGAGGCTTTGAAATTTAATTGTTGTGATAGCCTCAGTTAAGTAGATGACCCAACCGTGCTTACAATATTTGGTATCAACCGCACCACAAAAAATCCTTGATACATATCTATGATATTTACTACATTATCGAAGTACCTTGAATATACATAGTTAATAAAGCATCCCTTTTCATAAATGGGGCGCAATCCATGTTGCAGGTTACGTGAAGAGTTACGAGAAGAAAGAGCTCGGGTGCACCGGTTGGAGGACATGTCTCGACAGGCGGGTGGACGCGATACCCAAGCGATTTTAGACGCCCAGCGTGAGGCAAGCAAAATCGTCTCGGACTACAAATATCGACTGAAACGGGCTGAGCAAGAAGTAACTACCCTGAGCTCCCAGGCGGCGCGGCTCGACACACAGCTTAAACACTACAAAAGTCAAGCCGAATTATCAGAAAAGGCCGAGGAGGAGCTCAAGGCGGAAAAGCGGAAAATCTTGCGCGAACTGCGCGAAGCCCAGGCTCGAATTGATGAGCTCGAGACGAGTAACAGTCATCTGCAAAAACGGATGGACAAGCTAAAGACGGCACGCAGTCAAATACTCAGCGAGGCCGCAAGGGACACCTCGCCTCCGCCGATCTAACAAGTCTTCCTTCACTTTACTCTATCCCGAACCTCTACCTCTTCCCCAAACATACGAAAATGTAGCAGCGAAGTTCCAAGGATTCAGGCCGTATATATTTAGTTATCTATAGTCAGCTTTTCACTTGAGAGAGAGAACGAAACAAATGTATGCCATAAACACGTGACAACTGTTGACAAGAACGAATATAAGCTTTTATATTTCCATCTATGGCAATTTCTACGCATACACAAATCCGCTATGCTGGTTCATTTGTGAGTCTCATAGAGCGCGGCATTGCTATATGCTCACACATCTGCGGCTCAGTAATGTAGTCTAGCCGAATTGCCGATCATTCTTCGTGATGAAATAAATATAGTGAAAGCACCTTTGCACAGAAAAATTTCTAGAGGGCTAGATTGCCGACATTGGAGACGACAGTTGACGAATTAAATTACAGAAATGGGCTTTATGCATAGCTCGGATTTTTACGGTTTCTATTGGTTAGACTAGGCAAGCATACTGTAAATGTGTCTGTGCTGACCGTCTTAGCTGGTAGAAAAACGCAAAGAGGCAATGTATAGGCAACATATTGAGGCCAAAAGCCAGAACAAGTGAATCTGTGAGAGTGCCATGTGAGTGGTCCCGATGTAGTGCAATCAGGTGCAACCCCAATCAGGTGCAACCCCACGGAGAAATATTGGAGGGCCCACATGTTTACGCAGCAAATTACTTACGCCATTATTCTAGCTGAAATGTACGCAAAAGCGGATAAGAATAATAGGTTTCACCAGTACAATCTATATTCAAATATGCGGGGTTTGTGTACTGGGGTAGGCGTGACCATGGAGCCCAATTAGATAAGGTTAACGCTGATAAAGATTACAACAATAACAGAAGGTGAACGGTGTAGAAATCGAGTGAAATAAATACAGGCGACCTAGAAAGTGTCCAGCAAGTCGTATGGACGTTTCGTTCTACAGACATCACGTGCAGTTTCTAGTTACTACTTCTGGTTGAGGACCGAGGGATGTATCATTTGCTTGCTGTTTGTGGAATTTTTCCTAATAGAAGACAATGTTTTTGTAAATCGAGATCGTTATAATCCTCATTTTTTTATTAATGGGATAGCTATTGGAGCAGACATTATCAAGAACACCAGTGATTGTGGGATATAAAACCAGAGTGTTATAGATATGAGCTATCCAACATATGTTGGTATAATGCTCGACCTTTCAATAGTGATTTTACGTTATACCCGAGATATGTTGCTACTGAAAACGACTGCGTAATTGCTGCGGGAGAACGGCGTGCTTGCATAGCATAATTCTCTTAATTTATGTACTTGTAGTAGAGATAATTATTCAACAACTCCAGGGCTTTGCTTTCAGCTTGGCCAATAAGGAGTATTTTGTTCGATGCTATATGCGTATTCGAGATTTAGTTGCCATTTTACCATGCCAATACTTTACGCGGATTCGCTACATATGCTTTTCCGTTATCCATATACAAGCCAATGAATAAGCATGTCCAAAAACATGGTCCCCATAGGACGAGGCCATGTAAGATAAATAGCGAAAAATTGAAGTTCATCCAGTACGCTGCTTGGTAAGGTGATGAGCGAGTTTAGTTGCTGAAATAGGCGTTTTTGCAGACTAAGGGGAAAAACAATAGCTGAAAGGATCTTGCTGAGAGGCAGAAATCCCCAAGGAGGTTTATTCACACCCAATCGACTTGTTGACGGGTATTAGGTAGCGCAGTTTTTGCATTAATGAAAATCTTCTCCAGCAAACAGTAATTATAGTTTTTTTTTTAAGTCGAAATCATTATTATAACGAATTCAAAGCGTGAAAGTCTCACAGTGTTAATAACTCAATTTAACAGTTGCATGGAAACCACACTGCGAGCTAATTAAACTAATGTGTCTTAGCCTTGATTTAGTTATATGTTGGGTAGCGCAGAAGGGGCTATTTGAATCATGTCTATTATCGGGTAAAAGAAGTAGTAACAAAACTTTGCAATAGTTCTACTTAATTACGCTTGATAATATTAATTGAAAACACTAATTTGCGTATTACAAATTGACTAATTCAGAAAGTATTCATCTGCTAAAATCAAACTATCTGGTACTGACTTGAGGGAGACCCTCGATTATTCTACTAGAATGTGCGCTGAAATTTACCACTTTTTTTTTTCAATTTTTATATTTGTGTGTTCACAAGGACTTTTGCTTTCCGTTTAAAAAAAACTGCCACTAAAAAGAATAAAAATTTCAACGACCCTCTTTACTATAACGTTCTATGAATAAGTCACTCAGTAAGCCATATGTAAAGAAAGAAACGATGGTGATAACAAGTTGGGTTCCCGCAGTATCTTTTGTTGCAACGTCCCGCTTCATTTTATCGTAGTTCGTTTGTCGACTTGTCGACACCCTACGGAAAAGCTGGAAAGCTCTAAGACGTTTCTGTTCATCAAGACAATTTCTTTTTAAAAAAAGACCTAACATTTTTTTTTATTAGAACATCAATTTTTTGCGTTTTGGGAAAATTGAGACAACATTCATAGGAAAGAAATGGAAAAAGTCTGAGACAGTTACTATAGAGGTGAATAAATTAGAGCGAAGGCTAGATAAGAGCCAAGATCTTGGAAAGATGTTGAGCATATATAGTTAAACATAACGAATAAAAACGATGGCTTTGTGTGTAAAATAATATTGCTGCTATAAAGAAATAGACTAAAATAATAAATAAACTGATCAACAGAAACGGATCCACGTGGTAATAATAAGAACAAAAAACACTAAATAAAATCAACAACAACAAAGTCTTTATGGAAAATATACAAGATTTTCGTCAAAAACGTGCTCGATATGTGTTCCTTTGCAATGAAGAAGTAAACTAATTAGAGACTCTATTCAGTGATCTGATAATTTGAACTTTAAAGTGATATATATATATATATATAGATATATAGGAATTATTTTTTGTAATACACTCCCAAGAAAGGCGTTTCTGACTTGACTTTTTGAATTTTCAGAAATATCATTTTCGGCCTCTCCTTACACTTCCTTTGTTTAATGAGAACCTTTTTATTACTATCATCAAAAATAAACTATTGAAGTACTAATACGTATTGAAAAAATGAGAAAGTTCTTCTTAAGCATTGCATGACAGATCATTTCATCTGATGGTCTATTATGATATGATGCCTATATATTTGAAGTTCTTTTCACCGCATGGTGAAGGTTGTTGGATGCGATCGTGTCATAATGTCGAGATCATTACATAATTAAAGCCTTGAAAGCTTTTGATAACTCTCTAATTTTAAATAAAACAAAAAATCATCATGCTTTCTCCATCAAGTTGTCCGTTCGAAGCTGCCCGTAATTGCGTAGATTGTTGGTTTCGGATATCAGATTAATGATTAGCTTAGGCGATATGTGTTGTGTCATATTTGTGTGGTTTTCAAGTACGCTAATAACAAAAATTACATCGTTCGCTTTCCAAAACTTAGTTAAACTAAATATAGTAAATATTTGACTACTATAATTTAGTACTCGTGCTATCTTATATATATATATATATATATATATATATATATATATATATATATATATCGTATAACTAGGTAGTAATTAGGGGTTATATTCACGTGGATCACTTGAGTTGCCTTGAGTTACACTTGAATTAATGACGATAATAAAGTTAATTTTTAATATTTATTTAATATTATATATTTATTTTAATATTCTTTAAGTATCTAAGCGATATTATACATTAATATTGCTAAAAGTCATCACTTTTAGCAATATTAGCATTTAATGAATACTTTATTAAAAGGTTGTTGATTCAATAGATTAGTGCTCTTACAACAAAGGCCCACCGGCAAACACTCAGTTTTCCATACAAGTGCATAATTGTACCCTATTTTTTAAACAGGCGACAAATATTCTGTCATTACGGCTTAAATTAAATCAATGTATGGTTCACTCAAGTTGTTGTCTGCGAATTTGTAAGAAGACACATATCTTATTTACGCCTATTTGTTCTTGTGTGACGCGCATATATAATAAATTTAAGCATTAATTATAATAGACAATAAAGCTCATAATGTATGACCAAGTGATTTAATACTTGTTTCGATTCCGCCTTGCGTTCCTATTTGGATACGAAATTCGATGTCACTAAATTACATTAGGAAGTGTATTGCCCGGTGGCGGCGATAGCCTAATCTTTCAAATTCAGATTCCATCTTCAAAGGGTACATATTGCACTTTGTCTACGACACGCCCTTTAACTTTCTAACTAAAAGTTTCTTCAACGGCGGAGCTCACGACTTGGAAAAATGTTTCTAACAGGTCCTTAAGGATTGACATGAAATCCGTTCTATAATGTGGTAAAGGTGTGTACAGATGGAGTTATCTCCAATTTCTATACAGTGTATCTGTACGTTTTATGAGTCTAAATTATGTTCTGAAATATGAAATCGCTACTCTGATCAATTATTGTGAACACATATTGCGCATACGTTATGGTGTCATTACGCATTGCGAGAATGGACTGAGCCTATAAATTTACGTAATGACACGTACCGGACTATAAGTGAAAAGAATATCTAAAATTAACCACTATTCTTAAGGTAGTAATGCCTACTACAACTAGAAACGAAAATAGGATCTAGCTAAAAAAAATTTAGGTAAATAAGAGCGTATCTGACATACTTAAATTTTTGTAGCATTGAATTATAATTCGAATTCCAGCCACAACTCATGCATAAAATAAAGCTAAAATATAGGGCGGGGCCTATGCAAGGTATAAAACCTATCAACAGAGAACACTTGAGTCGTACACAACCACTACAAATACTGATAGTTGATCCTTGAGCCATATAAAGAAGTATTTCGTTTCTGAAATAAGTACTTCTCCAATAAATTGTGTCGAACTTCCTTTAACTTACCATAACGCTGTCAGCTATAGACGCACCTACCTATATTGTCAAGAAAAGCTTTGATCGAGTGCGTGTCAAAATGGCAGGCGCCGTGTCGCTGCATCGAGGCCTATTCGACCGGCGCAAGCAGGCCTCAAAGGCGAAAAGTTTATGCAAGCCACAAGTAAACGCTGGTCGAAGTGAATGGCCACCAACAGGCGGCAGCGCAGTGAAAGTCACCAAAGGAAAACCGAGATTATGATCGATCCTTCGCTTGCCACTACTCTTTCGTGGCTCTGGTGTTGTACAGACGAAAAGATGCCGACCGATCGGCTACGGCTAGTAGCTATAAAAAGGTGTAGTTGTTGTTCCCGTCCAACTTTTCTCTGTTTCTGTTTGAAGCCAAGGTTGATGCGACTGGCCGCACCGCCTACCCGGCAAGTGTCTCAAGAGCGTACCGTCGGATTGGAACGAAACTCAACTGACACCTGCGCTGCTCCACGGGAAGCCCTAAGCAACATCAAAACGCGGCCCACATTTGCAAGTCGGACGAAACGACCCAGGGGGCTCAAAGACGACGCTAGCAATGTACCTTTGAAAGAAAAGGAGGGGAGCATGAAACTGGCTTATTCCTACGACCTCGCTTGGGAACGTATGGGCAAGGCATCGTTAAAACGAATACCTCAGGAAATCGTTCGACAAGCCAGAGTGAGCTGGCGCTGCGCTAGTGAGCACGGCGACACTGGAGAGTGCTCCATTACTTCTGACTAGACGAATTTGCATCTTGAACATCGGTGGTGTCCGGCTTTGCCCTAACCGCTATCATCCACTCATTTCTTTCCCAGCGCAGAGCAGCGCGTGTTTGTCGTCGTTGTTATGCCACTGCCGAACATTTCTGGGGCTGACAGAAGTTGTAGCCAACACGAGAGAAAACGCAAAACCGAGAAGCGTCTAGAGCCCTTCTTTTTCCTAATGGAATTCCGATACGATATGGCTTTTGTCGTTCCCGCAAGCCAATAATTTTTTTCGCAGCATGTAAAAGCTAAGGCTCGAAAATTGATGGAGAAGGAGCTGCTGTGGATCGAAGAAAGCAATATTATGTATCTATATATACTTATATATGTGTAATAAACCTCACTGTAGGTCTTACTTATTCTATGGTTCATAGAGACAAAAGCTGAATGGTTTGACACTAGCCTTTTGTAGTGGAAAACCTTTTACCCGTACCTCTTCAGACAAGGGTAATTAATTAGGGTGTGTCTCCTATATTGGTTGAAGTTGCAGAATATGCTCTTCCCCTTTATGTACAAGTAATGATTGCGCTTATGTCCTTACGTAAAATAGAATTTTGAGTGCAATTGCCATTATTTTTAGAATTAAGGGTCACGGTCCGGACTACGATCTCCGCATACCATGGCGAGAACCGGCAATGATCGAAATCAATGCTATATTAATTATATCTGAAGTTATACACTTGAAGAAAAGTTCAGAAAGCTACTCGTCCGATACCTCAACCTTCGCTAAAAAAGGCGACGACAATACGCTTTCAGATGTTCGATAAAGAGATTAGCGGCAACTAGTTTAGCACCTGTAAAGCGGAACACAAAAAATCATTTAAATGAAAAGAAAGCGAGAGTTAAGCACCTTTCGCGCCACACGGGTCGTGTAGATGGTCGCATTGAAACGGATCATAATAATGTGGCGTCGATCAACAACCTGGTAAATTCAATTAATTTTTAGCTTTTATCATGTTAAAATGGGTAATTGTAATGCCCTCGCTGTATGGTATACTAAAATTAAATTATAGTTGTCTATAAGTTAGTTCGATTCCTTTTTTTTTTCTTATTTTTGCGATTTCTTTCGAAAGCTCTGTAGTGGACTCGCCGGATAAAAAGCCCTTTTTTAAACAATTTAGTACTATTAGGTTGAAAGGAAAGTTCCCACACTTAACGAAACAACTTTCGGTCCTCATGTTCCTACTGCGCTTTTTCTACTGTTACGATAGACGGTAGTGTGTCGTAACGGTATTGTATTTTGCGAATGTGGATGTTCTAGATAGAAGGAGAGTGCGTCCTCAGCCTCCTTGTGCCATGCGTTTCGTCTAGGCCAAGAGGCTGAGGAAATGCCCGGGACATCTGTCTTATATAATAATAGGTAAAAAAGTTCAAAAATTTTATTCGTATCCTAAAGGATGACCATTGCTTTGGCCAACTGTCCAGGCTTGATGAAGACCATATGAAAGCATTTTCAAAGGAAGACCGCCGGCAAACAACTCAGAATTGGCCGACAAGATGGGCTGCAGTTACACGACCGTTGTTAACTACTTCAAGTCCTTAGGTTTACCTAACAATTTTAAGCTTGGCTATCTTATGAACTTTCTGAATCCACCGAGAAGTTACGGCGCAATACTGCACCTTAGTATCTCTCCCAGTATTAGGAGTCACACGATCATATTACCCGATTTTTGTACAGAATTGCTATCGATAATGAGAAGTAGTGTTTAAATTAAACCATAGATTAGAGTAGGTGGCCCCAGAAAACGGGCCAACACTTAGATTGTAACCAGATTGTTATCCAAAAAAGGCTAGGCTTTGCGTATGGGAGCACTACAAAAGCATACTTCAGCGGTAATTGCTTTCTACGAATCAAGCAGCTTACCAGCAGCATTACTTAACCCAGTTACATCGAGTCAACCAAGCTATCCAAGAGTAAAGAGTTAACAAACAAGGTCAGGTCGTCCCATGCCATGACAACATGACACCCGTGAGGCTACGCACATTGTCAGGGCTGCTCTCCTAGACTTCCAATGGGAAGATCTGTTGCATCCTTCAGATTTCGCATTGGTGGATTTCCACCCTTTCTGTCCCTTCGATACGGATCAAGAACTCAAAATATAAATGGCTAGCTTTTGCAAGACGACATTTGCTACCCTTAGGT